TCCTTCCTTCCTTCCGTCCTTCCTTCCTTCCGTCCTTCCTTCCTTCCTTCCGTCCTTCCTTCCTTCCGTCCTTCCTTCCTTCCGTCCTTCCTTCCTTCCTTCCTTCCGTCCTTCCTTCCTTCCTTCCTTCCGTCCGTCCGTCCTTCCGTCCTTCCGTCTTTCCGTCCTTCCGTCCTTCCTTCCGTCCTTCCTTCCTTCCTTCCGTCCTTCCGTCCTTCCGTCCTTCCGTCCTTCCGTCCTTCCGTCGTTCGGTCCTTCCGTCCTTCCTTCCTTCCTTCCTTGCTTTCTTCCTGCCCTCCCTCCTTCCCTCCTTCCTTCCTTCCGTTCGTCCGTCCGTCCATCCTTCCGTCCTTCCGTCCTTCCGTCCTTCCGTCCTTCCTTCCTTCCTTTCTTCCTTCCACCCTTCCGTCCTTTCCTTTCTTCCTTACATCGTGCATCATCCTGCCTTCCTTGCTTCCTGCCTTCCTTTCTTCCTTCTTCCTTCCTTCCTTCCATCCTTCCTTCCTTCCTTCCTTCTTCCTTCCTTCCTTCCTTCTTTCCTTCCGTTCTTCCTTCCTTCCTTCCTTCCTTCCTTCCTTCGTGTCTTTTCTATTTTTTGTTGAACCATATTTTTTATTGATGTATTTTTTCATGTTTACTGTTTTTTTGATGCGTCTCCCCTTCAGTTGCTTGTCACCGTCACCTGTTTTCATGCGTCCCAAATGATTCTATCAAGCTATAGTCAACCCCGGCCATCCCAATTCTTCTGATTCTGAGCCTCTGAACTGCTCAGCATCGACTTCGGACGCCGAACACAGATCGGTGGCCGAGCAAAAAAACACACACCACGACTCACGACCCCGGGCGTGACCGGGCCGGTGGTCCGATTTTTGTTGGATGGCTCACGCGATCCAAACTCGCTCTGGCCTGTATGGCAGTGTCCACGTATTTGACGCCCACGATGCGTGCCACCACTCCCATGGAATTCAAGGACTTCCAGGGCCTTCGCTCGAAACGCTCGACTGAAGAAACACCGCGAAGCTCGCGTTCTACCATGCGGAGGAAAGGTGGGTGGCAGCTGTTTGGTGTTCCAAGCACGTTCTGAAGGGCCCCTTGTATAAGGTCCGAGGCTTGCCGGTGCCTCAGAAAAAGACCTCTACAGCGACTACGCCCAGATCTGGCTCTGGGTCAAAAAATACAACACCATCATAAAACCGTTGACCCCCAAACATGAAGGGATCAGCGGACATCGTCAACCTACCTGTGGGTTTGGAGGGCTGACTGGTATTTTAAAGGGAATCAAATCGTCCAAGCCAGTCCTTTTTGAAGGTCTGAGGAAACTGCTTGGATGTATCCTGCTATTTTGTTGAGATGCTTCTCAGAGCAGAAGGAGGAGCAAACAAAATATTTTGCATTCTCCGTAGTTTTCTCATCGCGGCCACAAGAATCAAATGAGTCATGGTTTGTGGAGATCAATGCCCCAAAAAGATCGACCTCATGAACACTTTGTGATTTTAATAGAGTGGCCAACCCCAAATCCTTCGTGATACTCCAGAAATGACGCCGGCTTAACTTCTATTCCGTATTTACTCTTACTGGCACCTTTGTGCTGGAAGCCCGGAACCGGAACCGCCTTCGTCTTCTTCATCCATCAACGGCGACGTGTTGCGGCTTGCCGGCGCGACCCTGTGGATCATTACCCAAAAACTCCGTGTAGTTGAAAAAGGGCTCAACGTAGGCATATCTACCATGCATGGAGTGTCTGGCTTCTTTCCACCCAACAATCCAGGATACATGAGGGATGCACTCAAAGAGGAACACATTCGGTCATCATTTTATTGAAACACTTGCATGGTAGGACAACCAGCAATTGGGTAGGCCAAAGCACGTCAAAAGTGGTTTCCAGATGTTTCCAGCCACTAACAAAATCTTCAACTATCCTGTGGGTTCAGGGCAGCGCAGAAATGGATACAAATTGTCGGTGCTTTGTAAAGCCACTCTTCTTTCTGGCGAGAAAAAACCATCCTCTAAATCGGAGCACGCCAAACCTTGGCATCTAACTGGAGCAGTCAGGGGCTCGTTCGTCCGTTCATCTCTTCGCTCCTTTGACATGCGACCTGGTGGCCAGGTTTTCTCGGTGTCTTTGTGGCGACCGTGAAAACGGTCGCGGCGAAACGGCCGATCTGCTACACCTTCGCCCTTCAACCACCAGAGGAAGAGATTTAAGTCAAGATCCGCTTCAGAGACGATTCCCGTCTTCGGCTCCGTCAGTATGCGCTCCGCTCCCGAGCTGGGCGCCTCAACCAGCTCTTGTTCGAGTTGAAGTTCGTCATGGCACCGAACCGATGTGCTTCGAAGACGCGCCACAGTCAGGCGCGGCGCGGAGCCGACGTGATTTCAAGGCACAAAGGGGGGGTCCAACAATGGATCGGTATCAAACATGGGTCCAAGCTACTTTCGCATCCTTGAGCCCGAGGGACATGGGGGATGCGAAATGGTTTTTCAGGTGTTCGGGAAAATCGGGCTTGGTCCGAGCTTTCCGGAAGGCCACTAAATATCGAATAATGAATGAATAATATAAGCGTTCTGCAATCACTTGAACATCCATTATCTTTGAGCCACTAACGTCTCGGTGAGGCGAAAGAGACGAAGTGTCGGCGAAGTTCTGCGGGCGCCACAGGCGAATATCCACGGCCAATCCAAACAGAACCATCCTGCAGCATTTACGAGACCTAAACAATTAGATTCGCTGCTTCCAATGGAGCACCCTGCAAAGGCCATTCAGTCCGTGAGGTGATCTGAATAGTTCAGTAGATTTCGTGCACATTAACTCCAGCTTGGCATGATCAACTCTGTGCTCAGAATATGGACATCTTCGTGCCTATGTCAATGTTTCGCTCCTTGGTCTCCTTACTGAACGCCGCCCCAACCCAAGCTGCCTCGCCAATCTTCCAGCTGTCCCTCTCTCCCTCCTGCAACCCGCCTCAGCACCTCCCTCGCCCAACCGCCCGAAGCCAGACCCTGCGCGGGGGAGACCAGCGATCCGCCGGACGCAGGTCGATCGTCTCCTGTGCCCGTTGGACCTCGGCGCCCTGGAGCCCAACGGCCAAGGCCTCGGTCACCGCAGCGAGGACGCGAACGCCAACACCGTCGAGATCGGCGTCGGGCCTCGTGCAAGGCCAAGCGAAGAAGTCGGGCATCCAAGGGCTCATGGCAAAGGGCGGCCTGCTCCAAGGATGGAGTCAAGAAGTGCGAAGGAGATGGGTAAAATTGTTAGGATTTTTTAGTCTACTAAGGTTTTGTTAAAGAGAAGGGGTGTAAAAAAGGTTGAATGTCCACATACAACACCCACAATCACCTACATACTGATTGAATCTGTTTGCTATTTCTACCTCTTTTTACATCTGTTATCATCTGTTTCATGAAGTCGTTCAACGCATCGACTCTCCGACGTCTCTTTTGCGTGAAGGAATGACTGATCGAAAGAATCGATTGCCGTGGCCAGATTGGCCAGCCTTGAGCATGTTGGCTGCCCGCTCTTCGGGTGTTTCGACGGGAGTCTCTGGTTCAGGAATTTCCTCGCATCAACCGACACAAATCCTCCAACACGAGACTAGTCCAACGATCTGCTTAGTCCATATGAATCTGGACCACCATAGCATATAAAGGCCAATCATCTAGTTCCTTTAAAGAACCAATTTATACATTTAGTTCCTCCAAAACTCGTGTTAAACAACACCTCTTCTCTTCTCAGGCAGGCCGTTTGTTTCGCAACACGTTGAAACGCCTCCAAACATCGTCCTAACCCTTCCGTTTACGGTCCTGAACGGGGGCCGGTCCCGGACTCATCGGCCGTGGGGCTTGTCTTGCCTTCAATTTCTGCGCCTGCTTGGCGGTCGAAATGGACAGAGAGTCCAGGCCAACTGCGTGGTACGACATGTGCATGTGGCGTCAAAGCAATCGAGTTGGTGATCAGTGATGTTCTTGGTAACAGCACAAGCCGGGACGCAACTCTCATCATGTTCTATCCGTGAATTCAGGATCTTTCACGAGCTGTCCACATTCACGGTCTTCGCGCGACAACTCAAGGGTAGCCCCCAAAGAGGCAACTCCTAAGGAGAAGACGGCTGTTTGAAGCGTCGCCAAGCGCCGTCTGGCAGCATCCAAGTTCACCTGCCCAGCGGGACAGTTGTTGACAGGTCTTTGGCATTGCGAGCGTTGGAAGAAACACATTTTCGTGTTTTCCACATCACCCCTGCCACACGGACATTTCTTTTCGTGTGTATAAGGGTTTGAAACATTTTGAAATATCGATCATCGAACAAAGACATTCTCCATCCCTACCTGCATGCAGGATTTTCTCGTTTCATATCCTTCAAAAAAGAGTGACACGCTTTTCAGAAACAGTGAGGATTGCGGAAACAAATTCCAGAAAACGACTTGAGACACCTTCATCCTCCCAGGGTGTCCCATATATGTCACACCGCTTGTATGTCACCCGTGCGGCTGGAAGAGATCGCGGCCATCCGGATGGCCGCCGGTGGCCTCGCCCTCCATGTTTTCCCGTTCGCATTGATGGATGGCCGCTTCCAAGAGTCCGACCTCACGGAGAGAGGCCGTCGGTTGGACCAAAGGTCGGTGGTCTGGTCATGGAGGACCCAGATGTTTGGCACCCCAAAAGCACACGTTTGAACTGCAGAGCACTTTTCATTTTGTGGGAAGGGACCCCTAGGCCAATCCCAGGTTTGGACCTTGCAACAATGAAGAGGCTCACCGCGCAAAAAACCGAGTTCAAATGCACGATCCTTTTCTTGGAGGCGCCCAACTGCTGGGCCCTGGGTGCGGCCACAATGGTATTGCTGCCCCTTCTTATCTATGTATCCCGGGACCACCAATATGGTCCCGCCAGCTCGTTCCCAGTTCTTCATTTGATGAACTTGGAATTCTGGAAACGAACGATATTGCTTGGATGAGGAGACTCGCCCAAAATAGCACTCTTTACGTGGACAACAGCTCAGCAATGCTCTGCCATACTTCACCAAAATTACACCCTGAAAACTAACATATGGAACCTGAAAACCGTTGGGTTATGGAGGAAAAATCATCTTCCAGTCTGGTTCATGCCATCAGGTTCTTCCCCGGTCTAATTTTCGATGCTCCTCCTCGACGGCTCTGAGCCGTCCCAGCCGTGGTTTTTCTGCAAGCCGAGCGCCGCCCGGACTCCGGGCGCCCCGTGGCCCCGTCTCTTGTCTCGTCTCAGTCTCCAACATTACCAGACTCCAGGGCCACCTGGCGGCGGTTTTGAAACGGTCCGTGGTGGGTGGTTTTAAGAGCGCACTGCCGCACTGGTGGAAGATCGCCCAACGGAAGAGCGACTGTTTCGACCCCAAAAGAGAGGTGGAAGTCGACAGGACTAAGATTGGAGTGTCTCCCTTTGTGCAAGCGGCCCAGACATTCCCAACCATTTGTTTAATCAGTTGGTGGCATATTAAAATGAAAAGAACCGGGAGTGCAACTTGTTCTATTGATTGATTTGAAGAAGAGTATAATTATGTATCATTCATCATTCTTCTCTGACTCTTGGACAACTTTTTGTCGAGCTAAGAGGGACGTTTTCATTCAACGTGGGTTTGTGGGGTGTTAGTGTTTACTCTACTATCTTCATTGAATAAACATGCTAAACTGCCTGGCATAGTAAAATGACCTTTCTGTAGAAAGGTGGTCTACGGTCTACCAGTTTTCTATAGTTTATTCTGATTCAGCGGAACATCGTGGTTTTTCTCCCCAAACCCGCCAGCAGACTCTTCATGCCTTTGGACCTTTCCATGGAGACTTCTCCCTGCCTTCAGCAGGGCAATACACTGTTTCTTCCGTGCAATGGCCTCCAAATTCCTCAGGCCAGCGGCACCGTCCGCCAGGTGGGCCGGAGAGTTGCGGGAGTGCACCCGTGCATTCCACCGGCGGTGCACCGGTCTCTTTTGCGAAAGGACTGGAGTTGGATCAGTCACTCACCCTTGGAGCTGCACAGTCATCTGGTCAAAGGGAAAAACAACCATTTCATCTCTCCATCTTCAAAGCTCCAACCAGTGCATGATGCACGATATCTTCGGACTGTTCTAGAGGATGGAAGAGATGAGTAGAAACCACGTGCCATCATCATCAGCTTAGTTCACTTCCCTGCATGAAAGAGATGAGACCCACAAAACATCCGGAAACGATTTCCGAGGGTCGGACGATCGACTGCGAACTCACCCTACCCACCAAAACGCCACCGCTTGATGGACCCATATGGTAGACAAATCCCATGCTACAGTCCGTGGTGACCAAAGATCGCCTATGCTCCTTGAGTGAGTTTGGGGAGTTTTTGAATGTCCATCTGAGAATACACCACCTTTGGACCATCGACGATGCATCCTTCGCCTGCGCCCCGTGCATACCGTGAACCGCTGAGGTCCCCCGGCTGACGCGCCGCTCGGAGCCTCGCGGCCATTGGCTGGAAGGGGGCGGGAGGAGAGCGGGAGGATCTGGGGGCTCTGCGGGGCAACCCGGCTATGGACTCTTAATTCGATGTCATCTGCCCAAGCTTGAGGTCTTAACATCCGGGATTATTATTCATCAATGTCGTGTCAGTGATGGTGAAGACCAGTGGCTGTTAAGGCCAATGGAAACCCCAAAAATTCTGAATGGCCTGTGTACTTTAGGCAGTAATCATTTTGTCTGGCTCATATTGGCCTGTGGGTTGGTAACAAGCACTCCCCGAAAAAATACAAAACGAGGTAGATACTCCTGAGTCCTTGGTGGTTCCATGTTCCTCATCAGGGGGCAGTTTGGACATATGTCGTCATCACATGACCCTTACCTTTAGAAAGCATGTCATGGAAACGATAACACCCCTTGTCAAAAAGGCAACATACATTGGGTCTGCAACAAGTTGAAAAAGAAGAACAGTCGCGAAATGCCGTTGGGGCTTTGGAACATGAAACGGCCGCCCAAACATGTTTCCAGACTATCTTTCGGCTTGCCCAATGTCGATGCTAAACATCAGACCGTCATGTTGGGCCACACACTTTGCTCGATAGAAGGGAACATCCACTATACAAACTGGTGTCACAAGTCAGGAATGATGAGCTCAAAAGCGCCACCACGGGCCAGAAAATAGAGATTCCTTTGAGTTTCTATATCCGTCCCTCTCCATTCCTTACGAGTCTTATAGGTCGCATCCACACTATATCCTCTCTAAATACCATGGCGCGTGTCGTCTAGATTGATCCAAGGTGCAGTTCGGCACCATCCTCATGCTGCTCCACATGCGCCTCTTCAGCCTGGTGCTCAGTTCTCTGATGTGCTCTGCTGTCTTCATCAGACACGAGGAGCACAAAACGCAGCTGGTCCGATCGCTCAAACCGCATGCTGCCGGACCATTCGAATTCGGACGGATGGACACCCATGGAACTGAGGTTTCCGCTTGGTGCTCCGCGTAAGGTGGAGCACCAAGCGATGAACATCATTTTCTTCGTTGCCAAAAGGACCGGACAAGCAACCGCACCGAAAGTCCCTATCGCCATATTCACCCTGAGTTTCACCCAAATATAGCGGGCAACATAACTATTATCTAAAACAGAAATTGAGTGTATTGTTTTTCTCACCTGAGAAGCAAAAACCATTCATGACCCTGACCACATGACCCACGGTGGTTCCCTGTTTTTGGACCAACTTCTGCCCTCTTCTACTCGGCATCCCGGGAGAGTCGGCCGTCGCCTGCGTGAGCGCACGTTGAAGCCGCAAGGCCTCGTGAGGCGCTCGGCTTCGGCGAGGGATGAGTGGAGGCTCGGACGCACTCGCGGAGACTGAAAAGGAAAGGAGGTACCTGGACATCGGACTGAAATGGACGAATGTTTGTTGTATTGGGCGTTTTCCAAAGTAAGACTTATAGCATCTTAATTATAGTGTTTGGCAGTGATTTCTCAGAGCATGATTCCAGCATGATGGAGAATGTATGGAAGCTATCGTCTCTTGACACCTACTCGCAAACACCAGCCACAGGAATGACTGCTATGGCATGCAGAATTCCATCAACAAGACCCCAGCATCCGCATACAGGTTGAAAAACATGGTGAGTGATTGAGTGGTGCGGGGAATACTATATGGAATACTCAAAGTAAGTGAAAGCTGAGTAAGTAGTTCCACTTCCATCTAATTCCTCATTTGATTAGAAAAAACCGCTGCTCAGCTCTTTCTTTACACCTCCTCCAGGTTCTACTTCCTCCGACCCTTTCCAGTGCTCGGTCTTCACTCTGTGCGTCCGACCCGTCCGACCCGTTCGGTGCGCTCCTTTTTCATGCCCAAACGGCCGGCGGCGAAAGCTTCGGCCACAAGGTGTTCTGGTTGCAAGGTCCGAGAACCTGATATCCCACATATATGTGACACCTCCCAGTCACATTCACGTGGTTTTGACGTTTGTTGCATCCAAACCACACAACAATTATAGTATTCTGACATAGCTGGCCAGAACTCCCTGAGAAAGCATCCACCACTTCTTGCGGTCTGACTTTGTACAACTGCCTTTGCAAACCTCGACGGGCAGCCGTTCCAAGGTCCTCCTGGCTCTTTTAAGCCAAGACCTTGTAAGGATTGAGAATGCCTTTGGGATCCATTGTAGCTTTCAACGTCCTTAGGCAACAGCCACGAAAACCCGTCGATTTCGCCACACCATGTCTTAAAGCTCGACAGGAATCAGAAACCATCGCACTTCACTGAAAACGCATTCAGGCCAGTGAAATAATTTTGCTCAAATCATCGGAACATCACTTTATCTCCTCGTTGTCCTCCAAACACTCAGTGCATTCAAGACAATTTTTGGCATGTTTGCGCAAACTTCCCTGTCTGGTCAACCCCTTTCTTCTTTCTTGCGACTTGGGCGACTGCCAAAACTAGACCCACCGGTCCGGCTCCAAGGATCCGCATCAGTGCGACGGCGCTCTCGGATTTGCTGAGATGTAAGAAATGCGGTTTGCATTGACCGATCCCATGTTCTGCACTGATACCTCAGCTCGGCGCGGCCGGCGCGGCCACTCTTGTTTAGTCTCTCTTGTTTAGGGCGGCGCCGATCCTCGAAGACCACAGGACGCTTGGGGAAGATGGGTGTGACACCGGTTCGTGACATGGGGTCCATGTTACGTCTTCTATTTCTTTTTGGAGGTGAAAGTGTGAAACTTGGACTTTGCTTCCCCAAGTCATGTCCTAAGATGGGTGAATCGCCTGCTTTCCTGTGGGGATTGAACGAGACCATTTCAGAGATCTTGAGATGAGCCGCCCGTTTGTTTATGGACGGGTTGCTATCACCAACGACTGGCCCCCCTGGACCCTCCGAAAAAGAAGAATAAGGATGTTGCACAAAGAGTGTCCATCTCCGCAAAACACACGGTGGATGAAGAGCATGGAACGGGGCTGAACATGGGCGGCCCCGCAGCAGAATTCCTCCTGAGTGACTTGAAGACAAGTAAGCTGGGCACGATGGATGGTATTGACCCATGCTCCAATGGTCTAGACGGTCTAGATATAAGATCTAGAGTCGAAGCCTGTTCTGCGTTCAGTCGGACTTCACTGACTTGAACAACAACCATCTTTCCTGCATCTCCTTGCAACAAACTCCTTGTCCCATCTCCATCCCAAACTCCCGTCACACCGTCTCGGCTTCCAATCACACCGTCTCGGACGTAGACGGCGAGCGATGCTTCCATCGCCAAGATGCTTCCGTTGGCCTTCGAGACCCACTCGAAGACCCAAGGCTCCAGCAACTCCAAGACCTCCCAGGGGCAGTCGGGCGTGAGCGACTCACTCTGAGATCTGGAACGACCCCCCATGTTGCGACCAAGTCCCAAAAAGAGGGGCACCTGGGGGGATTGCGAGGGGGATGAATTCAAACATTGCCCAAAAAGGATGCCTTCTCTGAACATAGCATGGAGGGTGAACCCCCCCCTTGCTACGCCTTACCCCCGCTCCCATGAAGCTAGGACCTCTGAAGAGGTCTATGACCTAAGATACTGGAATCTAGCGCTTTGAACGTGAGTGTTGAAGGCATTGTCTAGGAGCTCTTCCACCAGCTGGAACTCTTCACTGATGCTGCTAGTACTGTCCAGCTAAAAGGCATCCATCGGTACTTTCTCGGAGTTCTGGGCAGTCGGTGGTGTCGATCTCCCTCGCTCTCTCTCTCTCTCTCTCGCTCTCTCAAATATGGAATGCCCCCGGGTCGGATGAGACGCACGTCGCGAAGAGGGTCGAATGGGCCTTGTTGGGAATTACCCTCTCCCTCAAGCTGTGAAGATAAAGGCACAGTGTCGTCGTGTTTGTTTGCAAGACATCAAGACCTCCTCTACTAGTATTAGTACCAAGGTTGGTGGCATTTTTTGGACCTGCAGCCATGTATATGGTCGTGTAACTACACCGCCCGGAAAATGGTTGGCGCAACTCACTTGGGACCGCAGATGCACTGATGGCACAACAAGAGTGAAACCACCTTGGAACATTTGGAACAAAACATCAAAAAAAATACACTAAAACACGGGTTCCACAAGCAAGCCGACTGACAGGTGGCGAACGAATCAGTGAAACCAGCCCAACTGCCTTGTCATCTCGACCCGTAAGTGATGTGACATTCAGGTGGAGGTTGGCATCACCTGGCAAACAATTCGGAAGACCTCTCAGTTCGTGAGGTTGACCCCCTTGCAAGGTACGGAAAATGTACCGTACCCGTCGACGCATATGGGCGGTTCAGTGTCTCCCTATTTTAAACAAACACACACATCTGACTCACACAAATGTTTACTGATTGGTCTCTGACGGATGGAGCTGGCGCATGCTGGCGGCTCCGTCTCCGCTTTGTGGCGGGTGGTGTCCCGCGCTCTTTCAGCACTGCGCAGCGTCGGCAAAAAAGGCGGTAGGATACAGTATGCAGCAAACAAACGATCAGACTGGGAGGCGTGGCAGTCGACTGCACCAGAGCTGGCTGGCCTAGATGTCCATAGCCAGCTGCTTTGGCTGTCGCCTGCGTATCTGATTCATGGATCATCACTGCTGCGCGGCACTGTCTTTCCTTCTACATACATCTCGATTGCAGTATCTTGACCTCTAGCATCGGCGTACCCATTCAGGTCATTTATAAAATAGGAATGACCGCGGTTTTGTAGGGACAGGGCTGGATTCATGGATCAACAGTGTTGATCTCATGTTCTCATTGGCCATGTACGAATCCACCATCCGTGTTGGAAAATGCCATCCAGATTTCTTGTGGTAACGATGAGTCACCTCTGCATGTCAAATGTGGCCGGCCCAGCCTGGTGATTCAAGTCGCCCAAGTGAGCTTCTTGAAGACATGTTTGGTTTGTGGGAGGCTTGCTGGAGTCTTTCGTGAATTTTGCAAATGAAAGAACTTTCTGGATTCTGATTGATGTTTCTGTTTTGGGGTGAATTTCTTTGGATTTCTGGGGGGGCTTTCTGGACAACTCACACAATGAACACCATATCCCAAAAGAGAAGTGCTCGTTCAAAAAAGAGCAAGAGCACTTGAAAAGGGGAGCTCCCGTCCCAGAACATCCATTTGCACAAAAAAACACCACCCAAAGGAACTGTGGCAAAGGCCGGACCTCCGTTCTTGCTTCAAGCGGCCTCTACGCCAGCCTCTTGCAGTTTCTGTCTTGTCTCTTCTACGAGCTCGTACATGCGTGGCAAGGGCAGGGAGACATCGTACTTGTAGACCTCAAGAAGGTGTTTTGAAGCACGGCAACAGACTTCACAGGAATCTCCAGGCACCAATCTAAAATGATTTTCTGTGACATCTCACATGATTCTCTTCAAAACAGCTGCAAGACTACAGTGACTACACTCTACCTACTCCCCTTGGTTCTCCCAAAGATAGGATTTTCCCTCCGCCTCCACTTCGACGAAAATCAGACGCTTCGTCTTCCGACGGCTCATCCTGGAACTGTCTCGTCCTGAATGCCGAGGCACATAGCCCGCCGTGGTCATGGCATCACTTACCCCTTCCCGAAGCCGCCAAAGAGCCCGAGCCTCCGCGTCTTCGGCGCGACGGCATCACCGCTCACGCGGTTCCAAGCGGAGTCGCGGTTTGCGTGTTAAGAAACCAAGATCGACTCAATTAGATGTCTGATTACAGACCTGTAGTAACGAAGGGGCCGTCGTCGGAAAGCCTTGAATGATTACAAAGCTCAGAAGGGAGTTCCAAATCATTAAGCAATCACAGTTCCTGGTGACAAGCCGCTGCAGCATAAGGTAATGTCACATAAGCAAGTCGCTGCACCCAACTTGGCCTGAGTTTCATCGGCTGCTACTACTCCATCTTGCACAGCCGCATCCCCATCAGACATAGCGGCCTGTCATGTGGGAGTTCAATGATGTGCTTTCTATTTCCGTGATTCTCCAGCACCATTGGACTTCCAACAAACGTGCCATCCTTGGCCCAAATGCTTCTCTTGAACTCTTGGGACATCTTGGTGAACAACTTCGATTCCAGGCGAACATACCAGTGTTCACCAAATCCCGTGCTTAGCACGCACGCATGCACGCACGCGCACACGCAAAGCACGTTTCATGAGTCCCGAACTCGGACGTGTCGCCTTAGGAGTGAAGAGAGACATGCCAACGTCAACTCCCTTTTCAGTGGACTGCTTAGTGAGGAATGAGGGTGGCTGGATCCAAAGGAATCTCTTTTGGGGAGCGAAACTACGCTTGTTCCCTACTAATTCACTACTAATTAAGCACCAGTCAGTAGAAGTGAGATAAAATGAACCAAACATCAGTCTGCTCAGTTTCACCCGTTGAGAGGCGCCGTTTCTCACCCTTTTTTCCGGAAGCCGCACGGAGATGCTCACGTCCCAGCTTCGGAGTATCTGGTGTCCCTTTTGGCACCGCCGTTTACTTCGCACCTGAAGATTAACGCCAGGTGCAAAAATGAATTCAAACCTGCCACCAAACCTGGGCAGATGATGCGCTGAGTTGGCGAATTGTCCGGGCGCACGGGAAACCAATGGGGCGCACGAATGGGCGCTTACTGTACAAAAAGACCGTCTCCCAAGGGCCCCCAGTTTGTAAAGCCATCTCAAACCTGCCAACATCTGTGGGACTGAGATGGAAAAAGGATGCGCCCGCAGGCAGGCGCCCGCAAAAGTGTTCGGAGCAGGGCCTTTTGCGACTCACACCTCAGGCGTGAATTCACAGCCAGCGAAGCGAACTTTCGGTGAGGCGCCTAATGCGGGTGGACGGTGTGTGTCAAGACGACCTCGCCATCATAATTCACGGATTCAATGAAGATCTCGGTTTTGCTAATCGTCAAATCATAGAAGCCATACTGCGCCTCTCCATACCAATCCTCAGGCATCTGGGATGTGTGGGGCGTGTTTCTGCTTGACCTTGCAAAGGACTGAAATTCTACCAGACATATCTTAATTATAGACATAACAACTATCAACAACTTCTATTTATAGGCTTATATACTATGCTGAATTACGTACACGTCCGTCTCGTAAACCAGGCCCTTCTCTCAAAGAATGACCCTACACCTACACCTCGTCGTACCTCCGAGGAGGTATGACTGGACCCGACCAGGGCACCCGACCGTCACCCGTTCCCCGGCCGCCTCGGTGTGCTCCGGATCCGGCGTGGCCTCGGAGGTGATGCCGCCGCCACCGCCGGTGACCAAGCAGGTGATGCCCATGTGGTTCTTATGCCAGTCGTCCGGGAACCAGAGCTCCTGGGGTTCGGGGGAAGAGAAGACAGAATCGGAGTAGAGTGGAGGAGACGGGAGTGTATTTGGTAAGTTTGGTGAGTGGGAGTGCGGTGTGTTTGGCGGTTTTTGTTGCTTTTTGGTTGCTTTTTTGTGTGTGCTACCGTTGTTTTTGGAAAAAGGGACGGTGGCCGCTGGGGTGTGTTCCGGAGCGAGGGAGGGAAGGCAAGCCAGCCAGGTGGGTATTGGAAGAAGTATGATCCAATTTGCCGGAAGGAACCAATCTGACAGCGTAACCTCGAGCTAGCAAGCAAGCCAGGACAGCATCAATGTCATCGATCTGAGCTCCTGATCATGACGATGACCAGTGACCATCAAGTCGAGACCCTTCCTTGCCAAGCCTCTATAGAAGGCTTGCTCATGGCCGCAAGGGAAATGAGTCACCAGGATCTGCCAAGAGGCTTGGCTCTCACCCAGATGTTGTGTGACCCATTCCTTCTGCTCTTTCCAAAGGGCCTCGAACCAGCCTGGACAGCTATCCACACTCACTGGGCCTTCTGCTGCTGCACAGGTGGCTGAGGGCTTGTTGTTCTTGCGGCTGCACATGTTGTGACTAGGATCCTCTTCTGGTGGCTTCGCATCCATCACGTTGGAGTCAATGAAGTAGTAGTCCACATCAAAATCGAGGTCCTGATAGACCTCGGCTTGGAAACCAAACTGATCTTGACTCTGTTTGATAAATCTTGACTGCAAACCACCTGGAAAAGGAACAAAAAACTCCATGTCGTTCATCTTCATCTTTGTGATATATCTCCCTAACCACACCCTCTTCTGGAGCTATTCAGCTTTAGTTTCCTGACCACACCCTATTCAGCTTTGCCCCAAGAAGAAACTTGTGTGACTTCCCAAGAAAAGATTCATCTGTTGGAGGCGCACGGAGGGCTCGAGCTTTGCCAAAGGGGGCGGAAAAGATGCGTACTGTCTGTGTCTTTCTAGTACAGCTCTGTCTATTCTAGTCTAGTCGTATTAAGAACAAATACATTAAAAACAAACTGTTTTCAAAGGCCTCTTCCAACCAAGAAACCACTTTGGTCTTGTAGTATGGTGCTGGCATCACCCAACGACTGGAGGCCCAGGTGTAGGACATCTGTTGATCCCAGGCGTTGTCGAACTTGAAGCCTCCCCAGTCGTGGTTCCCCAACACCGAAAACCACGGCTTATGACCTCGGTTGCGACCGAGGGCGGCCGGAACCGAAAGCACCCAAACGCCGGCCATGTGGAGATCGTCATCAACTCCCCGACCTAACCAGGTAGAAAGCAAACAGGATAGAAAGCAAAGCGTATTGTCCAGGGTTGAGGATGGTCCGTGTCCAACAAATCATGAAACAGCTACAATCAGCTACACCACGTGACTCAAGCCAGGGCCTTGGTAAATGCCCTCAAAAATCTGATCGAATTGGTGCTTCGTGGGATAAGAGATCTTGTTCATGGGCTCTCCACAAGTCTTTTCGATGCCGCCCCAGTAGAAGTTGTCACCCACGTTCAGGATGTATTGCGGATCTTTCAATGCGGCACGCGCTTTGAAGGCCTCTGCCACCAAGACCTGTGGCTGGTCATCCACACCTGCCACGTACCTTGGTGAAACCAAGCATCCGAGATAACGCGACCAGTTTCACGCCAACTTTCACCAATTGGGTGTCGAAGTGTTCGGAGAGTGGAGGATGCAAAGCCTTTGCTTTGAATTCATACCAAGTGACCCACATTCCGGGATGCACGGTGCCTCTCCATGGGTGTTGAAACACTCCACCAGCTCCTTGTGGTTGCAAAACTGCTCCGTGTGGTCCTGACCAAAGGTCCGGATCCGCTGCGGGGAAACAAAGCGGTTGCAATCCGCGCTTCTTGGTTTGGTGTTTTTCTTTGGTTTGGTGGCGCAAAGAAGAAGTGGAAAAAGAAGCGTTGGCGTTGCGATAGCTTGATATATATTACTAAAGACAAATAAGGATCAAACTTTACTTAAGATATCTTATAAGATCGTTCTTGACAGAAAGGAAATCATACGAAGAGAGGTCAAAAGGCCTTATAGGGTACGTCCTCCACGACAATTTCGGAGGACACATTATCCCATTAGAAGGCCTTTTTGACCTTGTTGGTATGAAAGCGAAGACCTGATAAATCTTTCGCGAGAGAAAAATATGCTTTCGCAAACCTCCTCGCGGATTTTTCGCGGATGGTTTAGACAACACCTAACAGGTCGTTGTTATATAACTTATACGGACCTTTAGATCAACTCCCATATAATTATGCGCTTACTTGTTCATGTTAATTCAATTGGTTTGGCAAAGGCATGGTAGTGGATGCGCATTTTCAGATATGATGCATGTGGCTCATAGCAAAACGTCAAGCAGCAGCAATGCAGTACGCAAAAGTGTGCAAAAAGTGTACTACCGCGGTCCCCGGGTCCCCTATTCTGAAAACAAAGAGTACCACGCAGGAACCCAAAGTTTGGACCTTCATTTTCTCCTCAAGCAACAGCCTGGCAAGCCAGGTCTCAAAACCCATGTCCGTAAACTTCCTAACATCAAACTCCTTGAAACAATCATGAAAGTGGATGGCACCACCTGTTTGGTATTATGGTATTCGGATTTCATGGTCATCCAACGGGACCAGTTTCGTACACTTTCCCATGATTCTTCTTCCAGAGAGTGTACCCATCTGTCATCTCATCCAAGCCTCTCATGCCATGCTTCCACCATCTTCCACCGATCTCTACACATCACTACCAGTCACCGTCTCTTCCCCCGTCCTTATTCCACCGGCTCCGTGGGAAGACCGAAGGTCCCGGGCGTCGGCCCCAGTTGTAGGCCACGAGGTTCGGTCGCCCTTGGGCGGTGTCGAGCGAACCGTCCATGCCTCCCCAGTCTCCAATGGCAAAGATATGCATCTCCTGGAGGCGGATCGCGGAGCGGATTTGACCAGATGATCCAGTTCTAGGGGGTGGAGAGTATGATCTGGTTTTTTGGCGGAGTTGACACTGCAGTTTTTACCATGGCGGCCAGTGGCCACTGGAAATGGAGATGATCAGAACTGGGCTTCTCTTGCAAGAAACACGTGGCATGATGACATTCAGACCTGTACGGGAAATAGGATGTGTTGATGTCTTCTTGTATTCTACTGATCAAGGGTAACTGTGCGGACATGTGCGGACCATATACTTTCCAGCCACACAAAACATCAAAACACACGTTCAAGTCACAAAACACATCACCAATCCAAGGCGGATTTCTCATCACGGCAAAGGTCAAGAACTCCTCTTAACTCCACCACTTGGTGCCTTTCGGAAAAGCCAACAGCTGTCCTGTCCTGAGTGCCGGAGACCACCGTTGTCGGCCAATGTTGGCCTTTGTATCCCATGGCCTTCTCCGGAGGGACGCAGCCAATGCTGGTGCTTCCAGGCTCACAACCGGGGCGCAGGGACGCAAACAGCTGGTGCCCGGCGAAGCAGTCGTGGCACGGAGGCTTCGAACAGCCGGAGCAGGGTGGCAAACCGCAGAACTTGTCAGAACCTGCAAGTGACAATCAGGTGCCGATCAGGTGCTCATGTCAATGGGAAAGAGTATCAAAGAACGGACCAAGAAGTGACACAAAAAGGAGATGCACAAGTTGATTCACCCATATTCACCCATGGTGAGCTTTCTGTCAATCCTCCTGCTCCTGGTCTGCAAAAGAACTACCCTTTTTTTTTTTTATCTCTGATTAGTTATGGAGTTGCGGACTTATCTCTTTGATCGGAACACACCAAAACCAGCTCGCCAGCCTGGTGGTGCACAGTAGTACAAGCGTTGGAAGTCTGCCAAGTTGGCTTCAGCACGACCCACTCCTGTGATGACCTCCAAGTTCTGGAACCACTTGGGCGCTTGGGGATCCCACTTCCCACCACCAGCAGCCCACTCCACAGCGACTCGGCAATGGTCGTTCACAGGGAGACTTAAGCGTCCACACTTCCGGTTATCCACGGAGCTCTTCGATCCCTGTTCGACTTCGGCGCCTTCCGTCTGGTTGGTGCTGTTGCTATGATTGGTGTGATTCACCTCTGCAGCCACACCCCAAAGAGCGAGGAGGCACCAGCGCCACGCCATGATCGCAACCCCAAAAAAGCGACGCGAATGCGACTCACTTGTGCCACATGGTGAAGAAACGTTCCAAGCTCACTTGGATCAAGGGACCTTCCAAACAAAAACACGGCAGTTTGGAGCCTTGCGTTTTGATTGCATGGATCAGTGAGTGGGTGCTGTCATTACATCTATCTATGTTACTCTATTACTCTATCCTTCCACCATCTGTCACAGCCAAGCACAGCCAAGCACCACCCCCTCCCTCAGCTCCACTCCTCCAAGAATCGATGCAGCTTTTCGCTATCGTGCTCACCGTCCGAGCCGGAAGTTTCGATCAAGACCTATAGGAGGAGCGAGCTGGGACGGACTGTGGGTTGAGAGATGGCAGAGGGTTACCCCGAGTTTGGTAGTGCCATCATGGACCCCGAGTTAAGACATCTTAGGGGTTTTGTACCATCTACTCTAAACCCGCTTTAGATGAATCTGCCTTGCCGAAGGCCATTTTGGTTGATGTCGTACCGTACCCTATCAAGGTCTTCTACCAAACTGGAAGCCACGCCCTTGAGACACAGACACCCATCATCGCCCATCTGCTTCAGGAAGAATCCCTCTTTGGTGGCGAGTCATCGAGAATTGGCCGGAAGTGCGGATGGCGCCAGGCCAAAAGAGGCCACAAAGCCCCCCTTCCGTCTCGGATTCGACGCCGGAATACAGGAAATATACTTGGATATCTTTGTGGATGCCAAGTCACCTTTAAATTCGTTTTTCATCGTTTTCAGATATCTCGCGCTAGTTCTCCCAAGGAATCTTCCGTTCAATTGAAAGCTAGGCTTACATCCTTCACATTCTGTTCAACTGTCTTCCTTCCGGGCTCATCAACTCACAACCAGACCATCTTCACCTTCACCTGCGTAGCAACCGGGTGACGGGAGGCCCGTTTTCTCTGTACAACCGTGGGAGGCCCAATCTTCAATATTGTTCTTCGCCAATTTCAGATCTTGGACGTTTTCAAAAACAGGAACACGTTGAAGACAGTATGGTGTGATGGTGTGGGTGTCAAGAAACTTAAAAAAGAAAGACATGACATGCACAGGGATTATCACTTATAATAACTTATCATACAACTGCATACATTACCGGACTGATCACAAGTCCCGTCCGTCTCAAAATTCAGAAAAGCCCACGTGTCTACCCAATCTGTTACCACCCGTCCATGTCGACAAGGCACGTAGAAGGGATACGTCTCTTCCAGGGGATCTCGAACTCCGGTGCCTGCCTCTCGCTTCAGCCTGGGCCGTGCATTCGAGGACTCAGTCGAACATTCATTCGAACAAGGTCTTTTCGAATCTGAGAGGCCACTGTCCCATCACCGAAGGCTGTCTCTTGTGTTCAGCATATGTCTTCATTATCGTGGCACGATGCCGCATGGCCGAAGAGGAAAACGAAAACACCAGGAGTGAAACGAAGAGGAGGAGTGGCACTTCGTTCTCGACTCACATCAACCGAACTTCCACACTTCCACACTTCCACAACAGCACAACACACCCTGTATGTACAGCTTGATAAATCAATCCTCCCACCATATAGATCATATATAGAAGAATATAGAAGAGGTGTTACGAGTACCATCCAGACTCTGGGTGGAGCTTTCAAAAAAACAATAGTCTATATAATATATATAATATACTGGCCCCGTGCTCCAACCATATCCTCAGGTTTGGTGGTTAGACCCCCCCAACCCACCCCAACCATCTTCTCAGAAGGTAGTTGGAGCCCTAGGGTCTGTACCCTACCGAACTGGCCCTTCTCACCGAGCAATCGATCGATTTCTCCCATCTTTCGTCGAGCCGCACGAAATCGATCGCGGAGCGATCGCAGAACTCCACGGCGGAGAGGACCTCGCCCAGCTTCTGCCGGGCCAGGGAAAAGGTCCGCTGGACCTCAGATGCGAAGGGTCTTCGACCCCTGGAAGGTGCTGGGATCATCATGACAAGGCACGTCAGTACTCTCGTCTTGCACCCCAGCCAGTGGAACAAGTGGATCATGACTGCCAGGTGGGGTAGGTCATGAGTCAAAACGGAAGTTCTAGGAAAGGATCTGGTTACCGTTGGGTGTCCCAAATGCAATGGATCTTCTGACAAAATGTGGCTTCTTGGGGCGTCTGGGCGCATTGTGGAAGAAGCACCTTGTCGTGACGATAGATATCTTGTTCCTTCACGTGGTCGTCACAGACCACTTGTGAAGACACTTACAGCAAGAAAACAACCCCAAAATACCCCAAACCTGAACCCCAGAATAATAATGTTCTTCTACCGTCTACCAGCGTTCTGAAGAGGGAGCTTGTACCTATCCATGTCGGGGCCCCCGGCATGCTCGAAGCTTGAGCACGCGAAGAAGGCAATGTTCACTGCTTTGGGCCGAGCTGGGCAGAGAATGGTGAGCTTGGTGATGACACCTGGCATCCGCATGCGCAAATTCACCGCCAACCGCGACACACCACGCTCTGGACCACCGTCGCGATTCGGCGAGAGCTACGCGCGGTCACGCGGTCACGCGGTCACCCGAGCGGGTAAAGACCGTCCTGCCTAGGGTACCTTCTGAGCCAATAAAGAGCTGTGGCAGTCCGTAGCCCGTGTTGTCCTTCCTCAACGCAGACAAGCTGTCCACCACCTGGCCCAGCGGGGTCGAAAGCGGCGGAGGGGAGCCGTGCGAAAGCGTGCGGAGCGTGCTAATTGGAATAGTGTGATGAAAGACCGACATGATCACGCTGAGGACATCAAATAACTGCCCAATTTCTTCAATGAAAAAGTGGGATGCTGCGATGTCTAAAGGAAAAGTAGATTCACAAGATTCCAGTGGGGTTGCAGCATTGTCCATCAACTCTGACACTCGCAGCGTTCGTTTTATTGACACTCGCCGCGCTGCCTCTCCAGGCCCTGGAAAGACGAACAAACATGGTCCAAATCCATCAAAGCAAGCAAAGTGAGAGAGAGAGACCTCGAGATTGGCTCGGCACAAGACTCTTGGAGACATGATTGGTCGACTCTCAGCAGGATTTCGCCGCGATTCCGCAGGCAACTCCAAAAAAGAGTCCTAGAGTGGCATCAAGAGAACCTTAATCTCTGACAAGTGACAAGAACCTCATTAGACCATCCGGATTTCCAGGGCCAGTAGACATTGGGAGTGACTCAACGTCGCTCGACATGTGGCGCCGTTTGGGAATCGGTGCAGTCCCCACGACCGACCGCCGCACCTGGCCATCGGCTAAGACCGCCTCGACGCCCAGGACGTTGCCACGCAAGGATCCGTAGCGCAGATATCGAAGGCCACCTGATTTTCGCGGTGCCGGGTGAGACGAGTTGATTTGGAGACGACGACGACGACCGCAAGACGTTGGAGCTTGAGGACCTCAAATGGAGTCACATGGGATGAACGAAACTGACACATACCAGCACCACGGAAAGGGTGTCCATTAATAGCTCCGCAGAGGTCAAGGAGTGTCCATGTCTACCACCCCTTCAAAGTCCTGGTACATGGCTGTGAGATCATTTCACCTGTAGCCCATCAAACCATATGGTACGTTGACGTAGCGTCAACCAGGATCCCCCTGCACATTGGAGGGAGCTCATCTACCTGTGATGTTTTGTGAAATACAAACACCAGTTCTCGCCAGGTAAGGTGTAACAGTAAACCCTATGTATGTATTTATGCTTCTCCTAAACGAATGGAGCAGCTTGCCCCCAAGCAAGCAGCAGCTGAGTTTGCAACATCTCTCAAACAAACACGGATGTGATGGATAAAACATATATAGCTCCTTCGAAAACCCTACCATTCATCAACATCTTCAGAAGCAAATTCTGTGCGGTTTCCTTGCAAAGACAGGTCTTTGACAGCCCTTGGAGAACCAAACAATCCAGTATGCAACAGCATAAAAGAACCAGAAAGCATGTTTGCATATGTAACCCACCACACGTCTTGCTTGCCAACCCTTAAAGAATCGTCCACATGCGATGTTGTCTTCTCTCGCACCTGCGTTGGTGGCCGCATTGCCACCGATGGTGCAGGTGCCTTTGGCGCCCAAATCCAAGGGGACCATGAAGCCATGCTTGGCCAAATACCTGAGCAAAAACATTCCACAACCCCAACGCATCACCACTCACTTGGCATTAATAATTTGCATAATATCATATCAGTTGCAACCCAAAGAGATTCATATCCTCCCAGCACCTGTATGCACCTATGTGATCCTATGCGGCCAAAAAGGATACTTTTCATTTGTTTCCCTCTGCCTTTCACAGAAGTCCACTCATCATCTTCCGGACGGTCAAGTCACTGATCCAGCTGCTCCAGAACACAGCCGGCTTCCACAGTAACGATGCCCGACAGTGTATCCTCAGTCGACCACATAGCCAGAGTGCTACAATGTAGCAGTCGACCCGGTAGGTTCGCAGGATTCGCACACCACAAGTCCACCCTCTCATCCCACACCAGAAAATGAGAGTTTTTCTCGCTTCACATCTGAAACACACTCTCGGATCAACGCACCAACGCACCGGTTTGTTCGCCAAAGATCCAGAGCTTCCACTTGGTTCATCCGCAGCAAGGAAAGCACCAACTCATCATGGACCGGCACAGAGCCACCCACTAGGCCTAGTCATAGTCAAGAGCGGTTTTGAAACACAAATTGACAATTCACAAAGGGGTGTCTATGTCTATGACTATCAAAACTTCTAGACTGGTCAGTGACCCACAAAACCAAGACAATTGACACCCACAAAGAGTGGGACAATTCGAAGGGTGGAGTCCCAGTGAGAGATTGCTTGTACAAGAATTGAAGCCTCCCCTACATCTCTGGCATTCTGGGCGAACGCTCCTTTTAATAGACCCTCATAGACGCTCCGCTCCCCTGCCAGCAGGTGCCGGTGGCAATGCCAATGGGTGTAGGAGTTCTTTATTCAGCGGTTAAACTATCTTAGGATATCTTAGGAGCGCCTCGCTTTCAGGCGCCGCATCTGTCGCGCATTCTGTTGCTTTGACTCACTCCCTTGTTTCCTTAGATAGTATTAGAGCAACAAAGCCTCTTTGAGTTTAACAACCAGCTTTTGGAGATGGCCACACCTCTGTGCCAGCGCGCACAGGGGGGATTCCGTGATTCTCAACGCGACAGACCTGTTCCATCCGTTTCCTTCCATCCCTGAAGATCTAAAGAAAATAAGAAAAGGTGTACAAAACAGCAAATTACTATTATATGTTTGTTTTCTCTCATTTCGAACATTTTTAATTCGTCCAACACCTGTCGTTTCGTTCGGGCGCCGGGCAGCTGGCCTGTGTTGCCACCCTGTGGGACCACGGCCAGATTCTTCTCATTGGCATACCTCAAGCGTCAGACCGAAGGCTCTGTGCAATACCCAAGGTAGGGATCCTCTAGCCTTGTCACTGCAAACTTGGGGTCCTATCACTAAAAGTTTATGAGGCACCCCTTCTTCCTTCTTCGTGGCACGGAATTGGTGGCCAAGGATGTCGGTAGAAGAGCTCGACCCATGGGCCTCCTCCCTCCAAAAAGAACAGAAGGCCGCGAACGCCTCATGCTTTCACAAAGCCCCACCAAACCAAAGCACCATTTGCTGGCCAAACAACAAACCAAGCACCCGTTGCGCACGCGCTTTTTTGCCAATTTTCTGTGACACGCCGCGGTTGGGTCCCAAAAGCATGCGCACCTCGCTTCACACGTTCTGCTCCTTTACAGGACCATCTATTTATATAATCTATTTCTACCGAAGCTCCATCTTGGATTTTTCCAAGCAGCCCCCCTATACTTAACATGTGCAGCCACTGCTCAGGCTCTTGGGGTTTGGCAAAAGCAAACGAATCATGCTGAAACGTTGCCATTCATGGCTTGAGCAGCTGTCGCAAGAACACTCTTGACCTCTGCGCCACTTAGCCCGAAGAGCTCCCCAATCTTAGTAGCCAGGCTTCCCACAGCTTGCTTGCCACTTGTACGTTTGGCGCGCATGACCAAAGCCAAGCCCTTCCAAGAGCACTTCCAGGCCTTTCAAGCTGACGTCCTTGCAAGTAGCGACCTTGGGCAGCAAGCCGTCAGCAACTTCCGCAGCAGTCCACTAGCCCTCCGGCAGACAGGGCGCCTTCGCAGGCCCCAAACTCTTCGGCATCTGCGGCCTCTTTGAAACTCTGTGGCCCCAACACGAGACCTCAAAACGGCCCAGCTGGCCCAGCTCGCCACCAGCTTGCGGTCGACCGCAACTCCTCTGCGGCGAGCGGCTTACGCGTGCTGAAAACACCATGGATGGTTCAAGGAGCAAAAACTGGCAATTAGTACAATTGTATATCTTTTTTGTGGGCCGTGCCTTTTGCAAAGCGTTAGACCAGCACCCCTGCACCAACCCCGCTTTCCTTAAACGCCTCAATCTTCACCGGTTTCCTTACACAATTGCCCTTGCTTTAGCTAGGGATCACGTGCGTATACCCTGGAATCTTCTTTGTTTTTTTGGCATGTCTTTAAACTTTGAAAGTTATTCCTGGCGTGGTTGACTGTTTGGAATAGTTTTCCCTAGATGCACAAAAGACTATGACACTGTTGTGTTCTCTGAGAGCATCGTTGATCTAGTTTGTTACGTTCTCCAAATCTTTGTGTTTCTTTCATTCTGTCCAAGGTTGATTCTCCTTGAAATTATTCCTTAGCACATATTCTGCAAACAATATTCCAGCAACCCACGCGGTGGTGGAATTAAGAATTAGTGCATGGGCCATCTTGAAAATCCTTAAACGGATGATGAGATGTGGAAAGGAAGAAGAGGTGCCCTGCTTACGGTGGGCGCCGTGGAAAGCAAGACTTGATGAGGGGCTAGGTCACCTAGGTCGCTTACCACTTCCCTGGCATGAGGCCTTGGACCCCTCCCAGGCTGGGCAAAGATGCTAAGCTGCCTGAGAGTTGTTTTCTTGAGAGTGGAAGCAAATCGATTTGATTGTTGATGTGTATTATAGTATTCCCCGTGGCCCGTGGTTCCAAAAAGCAATTAGAGGCTGGAGGAAGTCAAAGTAGGGCCAAACAAATCAACCATAACATTGTATTTTTGAATCCAGTGTACACTGTTTGCAGTATATATATATAGTTATATGATGGGTTGTCCTCTAAACTATTGTTCCAATATGTTCCAATGTTTGGAGAGTGTTGCAATGTCTTGGAATAACATAAACCGATGTCAACCCCCTGAGAATAGTTTTGCTATGTTGTGGTACAAGCTTGAACTCACCAGGGGGCACTCTGCGGTGTCTGCGCCCATGTGGACTGTTGGGCTGTCGGACTGCTGCACACGCTGTTGAAGTAGACACAGAGACACACTCGTCTCTTTTTGGCACTTCACAAGATGACAAGCCAGTAGCCTAGACATGCTAGTGCAGGGCAATCCCAACAGGAGAAAATCCTGCTGTCATTTTCTTATGTCTTAAAAAAGACTGAAACGGGAACTCTGTCACACTTTGAGGTGCATGACCTTCGGAACGGAAGCGCCCGACGAAAGCTGGGGAAGAGCGGTCTTGAAGGAACAATGGTCCCATAGCTATCGATGCCTTATGTATATATATATATACATATAATATATATATATATGTTTTGTTATTTAGTCAGTTTTTCTGTTCTGCTTCTCGTTTCTTGAATATTCTGCTTCGTCCAGCGGGCTCAGTCCTGATGGTCAGCGGCATTGGCATCTAAGCCATGCTGGAGCATCAGGTGCATCATCTCAACGTGACCGTCCATGCTGGCAAGGGCACTTCATTGTACCTGCACCCATGACCTGATTGATGACGCCCAGACTCCGACAAAACAAAAATAACCACTGAGAAGCAAGGGCGTCTTCTTCCCAATCCTTCACCTTTCAAAAACATCCCCTAGAATGTATCCTAGAAAATGTTTCACTGTTCCGAAATCAAGGCGTCTTAGGTACTTTGTGATCTTTTAGTGATTGGATGTTTCGCTTCGTGGTCAATTTTTACCGCCTTTGTGCGGGCTCCCCCAAAATAGTAGCTGGTTACAAAGTCATGATATAGATCTTCACACACTTTTGAAGCAGGGAAACGAATATTCACGCACCAAAGTATAAAAACACCTACCTAACTCTTGAAGAAGGAAGCTGAGCTGCTGGAAATTCAGGGACAGCTGCATGCTCAGGCGCCTCATGCTTTTGAAACAGTTGTGTCTCCGCAGTGCACTTCTTGAACAAGCCGGAGAAGCTTGGAAGCGCTTCCCTGGACTACTTGCGTTGATGCTCACCAGCTGCAAATCTGAAAGAAAGCCAGCTAAATCTTCCGGCGGAGACAGCAACGGCACTTCTGCGCAACTGCGAAGGGTCTGTGACGAGCGCCTGGTAGTGAAGGAAGACACGGGGGAGGCCTGCCAGGTCGCTGGAGAGGCCCTGAGTGACCTTGGCGTCACCCACAATGGCATGTCCGAGTTCTGAACATTTCTGAACAGTGAAATCTCATCTGGTGAGTTTGGCTCGAGCGCAATGTGTCGGGATTCGCCTCAGCTCTGCTTACTGCACCTTGGCCCAGTATAGCCCCAGCTCTGCTTACTGCACCTTGGCCTTGCCCAGGCCCAGTAGTAAACAGTTTTGTTTCACCTTAATTTCACCTTCCCCTTCTCCAGGCCCACAATTCGGATTATTGAGCTTTGCCTCAGCCCCAGATCAACCATTATATCGGGTGGATCTTGGGGGTGCTCCAGGCTCACCAATTTCCAGTTCTGACTGCTCCACGTTGGCCTTCCCCAGGCTGTGCCTTGTTCCTCGCAGCCAAGCAGTGACGGCTCTTCTGCTCCGCTGGGATCGGCCCCCGCTCATGCAGCAAGCCTTCAGACGGCTGGATTCAGACAGCTGATGTCCGTTCACTCTCAAAACCAAGGCAAGGTAGTACTTCTCTATCCCGTGATTTTGCAGAATTGTGATCGCTGAGCAATGATGGCCACTAGGAACTGTGGTTGTTGTGACAATCATCACTCCGGACGTCTCACTGTCCAGTCTGTGGCAACAACCAGCACAAATGCGAACGCAAGTCTTGCAACTGCCGCATTTGGGTAGCCCGATACAGCGATGTTCTTCCACCATTCTCCGCACGTTCTCAAGCAGCTGTCTCGTGGCGGTGCTCCAACGCGACGTACGAATCTGAATGGTTGGGGTATCAAGAAGTGGCGTTGAGGTGTCCTCCAGCGCGTGGAAGTCTCTGCTTCGGTGACATGGCTTCTCCAAGGGTTCGGAGGTGATGCAGTCTCACCTAGCTCTGGCGGAGCTGTTGCCGTGGAGCTTTCGGTCCAGCCAAGCGACACCGAACTCGAAAAACGCGGGGTTTTCCGGAAACCTGGCCTTTTCGATGGTTCAAGTGTCCTGGGTTGGTCAAGAGCAAAGAGGTGGGTTTATAAACACAGGAAGTTGCCTGGTCACATGATGGCTGTCAACTACAACAGTTGGAATACCATTGCACTTACGACTAAGTACAACTCGGCAATCCAAAGTCTTCCCAATCCAAGTCACATTACTCTATACAACTATACAACATAGATTGCCTACAAAACAGTTCGGGTCAATCCTTTAATTAAGCTACCTAACAAACAAACAGATCCTCCGTCGAATTGGTGAAAGTCTCACAGCGCAAAGGAGGAATGGCCATCCAGTCACGTCTTCCACCTGACGGAAACATCATGAAGCATGCACCCTAGCCGTTAACCCTAACTAAGTTATATTAATATATCTGAGGCTGTTTCTCTGCTTTTTGTTGGTGTAAAATCATGGCACACCCCGGAAAAACAGCTGAACCAGCTGTCTCCAGATCTCTCTGTTCTTCCGAACCTCAGGACCCCCGTGGAAAGGTCCACCGGCGATGGGACAAGGGACGAGGCGGTGGTCAGGGGCGAAAAAAAACAATCCAGCCGCATGGTGTGCCATGCTTCTCTGAGTGATCCACGGCTCAAAGGCTATTGATCTGTTGGATTTTCAAGACGTGAGCTTTAACAACCCCAGCCATCCTGGACCTTCCGCGGACACATACCTGATGAATCCTGATGGCAAATTACTTCTTTAAATTATACAGTTCTTGAAACAATGCATATCGCTGCTTGGACCTTTCAAGCTGACCAAGGCGCTTGAGGATGGCAGAGACCTCCTGGGTGGTGGCCTTGGGGGCTTTGACGGGCGCCCTCTGCCCGTCGGACATCGGATCCAAGGTCTGCCGTCGGGAGCAACGAGTGACGGAGCAATGAGTTTGGGATAGTCTTTCTGTACGATCTTTTACGAAGATGGCGGAAGAGTAGCTGTACTCGCTCCTCCCCGTGGTTCCCAACGAGTCTGATTGGCAATCCAAGCACCTGCTTGCTGTTTGCTCATCTAAGAGTGCACCACACAGCTAAGGTACTGCATCTATACTGGGCATTCTTGGATTTGTTGCCACACAAAAATCCTAACACGGACCCCATGTTTTGTGTGTTCCACGATGCAAACGAATTCTTGCCAAGTTGCAGGCTTCAAAATGGCGCTGCTGCGACCCTCCCATTTGCCTTAGAAACCGTCAACGTATAGAACTCAACAAAAACGTAGTAACGACGTAGTATCTTATAGTGCTGATACAACGATAAACCAGGGAGACGTGACTTACCCATCTTACCCACGTCTAAGGTGAGTGTTCATAGTCTTTTCGGCTTGGCCAAGTCGCTTCGCACCCCTCAGGTCCAGCCCCTGCTCTGAAGATCGATTACAGTACCCTGCTCCGAAACCAGGTTCTTTTACGACACATCCGTGCAACTAGCACCATTCCCGCCTGCCAACAAAGAGCACTTGGCGCAAACAGTTTGTTCTAAGCCCATCTCTGGACAAGCTTTGCTTTTTTCACAAGAACAAAATACCGTTTGCATCCGTTTGCGCTCATTCCCCCCGAGTTCCGCAGACCTTTGGATGAGTTCCCATGTTGTCTCCACAGGTCTCCGAGTGTGGATGATCTTCTACCAAGCAGCCCATCCAGTCTTGGTTGTATCTCAATAAATCCTGAAGCGGATTTTGCAGCTTGACTGTAGACCAGATCAACAAATGCGCCCATGGGACACGATGGAGTTCCCTCACTTCTGTCCCTTCGATGTCGTAGGGGTCGTGATCTTGTTCTGAAAGAAGTCTCCAAATCATCTCTTGCTTCACCCAGCTCTGGGGCCTTCAGAAGCCTCTGCTTTTTTTATTCCAACGCGTTTTCGGTGGCGCCCATGCCTTCTCCTGCCTGCTAGGCCTACTACTTATGCCGCCGGAACTTGGCGAACCCTCGCAATTCCCAGCCGACTCCCGCCCCACCGAAGCGCTCCTCGCGTTCCACTTCCTCGGGCGTGAGGACGTTGCTGGGCCCCAGCAGCTGCTTCAGGTGCCGCAACTCCTCCGAGCCCAGCGCCGCAAAGCGGCCCCGGGGCGCCTGGTACGTGGAGCGGAAGCGGTCGAGCGGAGCGGCCGAGCGGCCCCGGAGGCCGAAGGAGAGTGTGGGGAGCGTCCGATCGCGGGTGAATGAGCCAAGGTGACGAGGGAGAGAAGAGGTGATTGGCTGGATTCAGTTGGATTCAAATGAGAGTTCGGGTTCGGAAGTAGAAAGAAAGTGGAGAAATTCTGGGGGAGGAAGAAAAATGCTCATCAAATGCTGATTGATGGAAATGTGCCGGACATCAGCTCTCCACACAGTGTCTGATGATCTGACGGGTCGTGCAGAGCCTACAGCATCAAGTGAGTGATAGTCTCCCACTACTTCAGTGTTTTACTTCTGCATGCACGTTTATTATATGCTGGTGAAGTCAGAAGTGTTTGTCAAACGGAAAGCTCAGCTCGGCACGGTGGAGGCGGTCTGCACATGTCGCCAGAACCGCGAGTGCAAGGCCGGCCGCAAGGAGCCCAGCCGCATGGCGGATGGATGAGAAATCGATCGACCGCTGCGTCAAGCGCGGATCCGGCCGAGTGGAGGCCCAAAAGATTCCCAAGAATCAGCAGCCCGGCTGAGCCTGGTTCCTTTTGAAGCACCAAAAACCTATCGGGCTCAACTTTCCTCACTCAAAACCACAGTCTATGCGGCAGAGTCATCCAGTGGGTCAGTTACTCGGTCAACTGGAGTCAACTGGTCAACTTCAGATCACAAAAGAAGAAATATGAATAAATCATCCAATGAGTCGACATTGGCCCATCTCAAAAACTTGCCAAGTATAGGGTGCCAAAATCATCCAAAATCTTCCTCTATGCATGTCCTGCGATCTTCACAGGATGTTTCTTGGTCGACCTCAAATCCTCTCTCTGCAAAGCCAAAACATGCGGGTTCTTCGAAGGGCTGCGTAAAGCTGAATCGAAAACAATCGCCTGGCTAGGACGATGGCTTTGAGAGTGAGGCTTGGAGAGGGCTTCTCTACTTCCAAGGGCCGACGGTGTTCTTGTCTTCCACCGGCATTTTGGTGCACAAGAAGTGCAGAAAGAAGTAGATCAAAGCAATGACAAAAATGACCCCGAAGCACGGCCCAGCTCCTGATCGTTAGGCCCCTTCTCGTTCGGCACCTTCTCGTTTGATCTGTTGATATCTATATTGAATCTATTGACATGGAGATGGAATGGAACATGTTTGAGGTGCTCTGCTGATCTCTGGAAAAAACCAGCTGCTCTGCCGATCTTTGGGCCACCCACCAGTCGTCTCTCTCTCCGGAAACCCATGCGATCCATAACCTTCGCGCCCTGGGGATCCCCTGCTCCACCACCCATGGCGCTTCTCAGCTCTTCGAGCGCTGCCAACTCTTCCTGCGCTGCTGTGGATCTGGTGAGAGGATGGCGCTTTTCCGAGAGACCAGACACATGCGAGTCTGTTCTATGTTCCATACGCTTCTCACGAAGCTTCTCACGAAGCGGGAGGGTCATAATTCGAGAACATGGTGCACCTGTACACAAAGCGCGAACACATCACATGGACGTTGGAAAACCACTTCCAACACCACCCTCTCTGTAGAAGAAAATCGTCTGCCCATTGGCCAACTCCATGTGATGTTTTCCTCGGATGTTCCTGGGTCCATTGGGCCAGCGCCCAAGGAAGGCGGAGTTGGTCTTTGCCGCATTAAGGGAGAAACATCGCGGATTCAGTCGATAAAAAAGCGGCCACCATCGGTTGACCAAGACCAGGAAAGCCGGTGCTGCATGGATCTCTAAGCAAATAGCAAATTTGTTTGGCTGGTACAGGTTGGTTCAATTGTTAACTCATGAAGCTAGTTGCTTGTGGGGAGGCCTCACAACAGACCTCATCCATCCTGATCCAACCAACGTCACGCGCACGATCCACAAACCCGGCGGTTCCTCTTTCACCACATCACGCGCACGCTGTAGGATGCCACGACCCTCAGCATCCTGGGTCAGTGGAAAGGCCCAAGGATCATGTGTCATCGGAAAGCCATGATGGGTCAGACCAACCTGGTTTCCCACAACTATCATGGAAACCCATCATGGTCAACCATGTGTCAACCAGACCAACCACACCAACCGTTCAATTCGATGGCCTGCGAATCTGGCGGAATCTGACGTCGGACGTCAGACAATCAACCTGGTGTCTCTCTCCGATCGGCCAGTCACCCAAGAAGAGATATCCATGGACTGAGAAACGTCACCCAAGTCTCATGGGATATCATTGGTGACCAATCATCTCACCCGAATTCTCAGTGGGAGCAACCCTGACGGGCAGATGCGTCGTGATCGTGGCAAGGGTGAGTTGGGACACAAAACCTTCATAAATATATGAGCTACTGCCTGCCACCTGATGAGAAAAGAACATAAAGTCGGGGTGCCAGCTGCTCTTCCCCAAAGCACTCAATCTTGGATTGCTGTGCTTGCTACTACATATTCTATAATTACATACAGTCGTCCTGGCGTAGATAGAATACTGGAAAATCAAAAAACAATAGACAACTGGTCATGTTTTTGATTGTTTCTGGATTACGCAGACGGACGTGGTGAAGAAGGAGGCTTTGGATGCGCAACTATGCTGCCACTTGCTGCCCAAGATTCGGGATACTCAGTGGGCTCTAGCTGCACCTCCTCTGCCTTCCGCACCGCAGCACGCAACTCCTGCTGAGCAGTGTCTGGCGGAAGGAAAGGCGCTTGAAGTCGCAACAAGTGAACTCCCACTCTCTCCGGGTGGGGGTCCTCCTGTTTGCTAAGACTCGTGAATTCATTAGCACATTCGTGAAGCCAAGGTGAAGCCCAGGGAGACCATGGGGAGACTAAGGGTTCTAAGTTCTTGATCAAAAGGCTCTGGGTAGGCTGTGGAACCTTCGCGCAGAACAATTGAACCCGTGCAAAATTCAGGAAACTTAAAAAGAACATAGATAACAAACTAAACACAAACACCTACTAGCTAGCTAGTAGTGCTTTTCAAGCCATTTTTGTGGGGTAAAACAGGCTCCGGCAAAACTCATGATGACCGGAGTGGGTTCTCAGCTGTGGATCTCGACACCTGTGGAGGTGGGTGTCTCCAAGTGTGAGTGTCTCCCTGCCTGAACAAGAAAGAACAAACAATTGGTAGTGGTTTGTGCATTTAATTAGTTTTCATGTATAAAGCATATCTGGATTAATTGTAATATTACTATATAATTTGATTTACATATCCTTTACGTTCGTTACTTTCAACCACTTGAGCATTCAAAATAGCCAGAAAAAAACACGGGCTCCTTAAGCATTCGATTCTGAATGGCCGTGGCGAGGCGAGTCACAGCTCCCTGCTTCTCGATGATTGACATGAAAATCTCCTGCCGGTGTCTGGTGGAGGCGGTCGTGGCGGTCGTGGCGGCGGTTCGTGGCGGTTTCGTTCGTAGATCGGTTCCAGAGGGATTGCTGGAAGCTGTGGCCCGAGGGACTGGGATCGGTTCCAGACACGCATGCAGCAGGGAATCGGGTCCAGACACGGGTCTTTCCTGGTGGTTTGGACCTCCAGGTCGTGCTGAAGGTGTCTTCCTTTCATCAGTAGATGGGTGGAACACAAGTAGAAAGGAGTTGCTGGGGGGTTCAGAAGCATGGCACCTGAAAGGCTTTTGGCGCTAACCTTGATCCCTGATCAACTCCGTCATACAAACCAACGGATGGGGCTTTCAGGTTCCATGTTGGTCTTCTTCAGGATGTATATGTGGCTATTTCATGCATATGGATCAACATCCCATGTACCTTTAGGTCAGCACAAGAGGTACAGTACACAAAAGAGACTGGGAGCTGTTCCCTCAGAACGGTGGCTGCTTTGGTTCTGACCCATTCCCAGATCTGTATCAAAAGAAGAAGGGAATGACTGGTCATGGCACACAAGGAGCCTTCCGAGCTCGTCACTAGCTGTCCACTTCTTTCACAAAACCCTGGGACGGAATGCCTTCTGCCTGTGCCTGTGCCTGCAGAGGCACTGAAAAAGGTGATACCAGCTCAAGTATTGTACGCCTTTGAGCTCTGCCCTCTGTCTTCAGGCAGAGTGCTGTACAAAGGCAACCCCCGCTCAAACCCTCAAGGCTTGATCCATGTCGAAATATGTCGCCACCTTGGGCTTAAATAAGCGCCTCAGTGTTGCGACCACTGCAAGAACCAAGCAAGTAAGGCTCAAGACCAAGGCGCAAAGGCGAACAGCTCGCAGATCCATTTGGGGCCAGTCATAGAAGTTGAAGCGTGTGGGTTGCTTCAAGTTCCTGGCTTCTGCGAGCTCCGCCTGCACTCCCGTCAAAGCCCAGAAGGCCACCAAGCCGATGATTGCATCAGCTCGTGGAAATGCAAAGGTCGCGAGAGACACCATGCTGCCGATGGCCACGAAGGACAACATCGCTAATGAGAGCATCACCTCGGGCGAGGCTCGAAGCCGGTCCGCGAAGACGCACAGGTTCACGGCGCTGGCGGCAATGATCCAGCCGGCATGGAGAGAAAAGGGCGCTCGCAGGAGCCAAAATTCTGGGATGGTGTACTGGTGCAGGTCTGTCCGGTACATCCCAGCTAAAAGCGAGATCAGGATGCCCAGCATGCACAGGAAGGCGATGAAAATCTCTTCTTGTGCAAAAGCTAGTGTCCAAGCGCATTGAAACACACAGGCTGAGATCCAGAAAGGAGTCATGAAGGTGATCACATTGTTACTGCGATACTTTCCAAACATTTGCGCCATTGCGAAGACTCCTTCCCAAATGAAGATTGGACCCCAAATGGAGAAGGCGTACCCCGCCGGTGTGACTAACGTCTGATACTTCGCCGAGAGCTCTGTGTTGGTCTGGCCGAAGATGCCTGTCAATGATCCATAGGTCGTGGCAAGGTTCACGAGGTAGGCGACCAGGTTTGCCCAGTTTCGCCATCCAAGCGCCTTCTGCGACTCACTGGGAACCATCATTGTACCGGGTCGGGCTCGAGCGCTCCCGGCAGAACTGACTGCGAACAAACTTCACTTGAGCCAAGAATCTCTGCAAAGGGGCAAGACATGAGGGATGCTTTTTCTTCTTCGATGGGAAATACTTCTTGAAGAAGCAAAACAAAACTCTCCATTTGGATCCATTCGGAGACCAAAAACCACCTGGATCAAAGGTCGCTACTTAGTGTCCTTTCCGACGAACCCGAGGTTCCACGTACAGTACCGAAGAGAGCCTCACCGCGCTGCAGTAGCATGGCATCCACGTCGGCACGCCGGGCGTGCTCCAAAGCCATCGACAGTTCCTGCGGACGTGGCTGAAACGTGGCGTGGACGACCGTTGATGAGAGGCCCGGGCCGGGCCTCTCATGTGTCCGGTCAAAAGCCTAATTACTTGAAGGGATATGTTAATGGCTTACTTCACATGTCTACCCAAACTTACATCCCAACACATTCCACCTAGGATGCAGCTATCCTCTTGGTTTTGCTTGGAGATTGTTTCAACTGACGCCCCGCCCCAGTTCTAAGTAAGACTGGTCTAAAAAAGAACTGATTGCATTGGCTTGATTGTTGATAAAAATGTAGAACACACACTTGGTAGAAGAATGTGGTCTTCAAAAGCCACATTCCTCAGCTTTTTGGCAGTGCTTGTGCCTAGTCTCGACAGTGCGCATCAGGGGATCTCTTCAAACGTGATAAATTCTATAGGTGAAAATGGCTGCTAAGCTACTGTGAAACTGGTGAACTCCCAAATGGAAGGTCCCAGACTTGGCAATCCACTTACCCTGTTCATGCTCACTGGTCAATTCATGTTTCAGACCCCGAATCCGAATTGGCCACGTCCCGTTCGAACCCCGCGGGGTTTCGCCTCCAAGTCCACGGGTGAGTGTGAAAGTGCCTCTCGCAAGGCCTGCTTCGAAGTCCCCGAGTCACGCGCCGAACGTGCGATGCCGCGGTGCGATGCCGTGCGCCGTTCCTTCTGAGAGGACGTCCAGTCTCGGTCGAGGACGTCCAGCCTCTTCGAGGACGTTACACCGAGGTGGAAAGCCGCACGGCATGACGTGTGTCGACGTGTTTAGATGATCGTTCACCGATGTGTGGAGGGTCCGTTGTTGTCATCTTCGGTTTAGAGCCGCGGAGCCGAAGAAGAGCGATTCGTCGAAGCGAAAGGGGGGGGAATCAAAGCCAGCCGAGAGTGGTGCCTGTGTAGCCACTGACGTTGGTGAGGTGGGCTGGTCGCTAAGATCCACCGAGAAGTTTCGAAAGGACCTTGGAAGACGTGAGAAGATCCGACAACTCCTTGGGATTCCGGGTTTGATCTCCTCCATCCTGCCAAAGGCATGAGATGGAGCACAAAACCGTTTTCTGATGAGCTTATGGCTTGAACGGTCACTTGCTTCGATATGCCTACAAACTAGTGGCCCCCTTCTGTCGCCCCGTGGCAAGCAAGCACAACACCTGTGGTCACGTGCACAGTTTCTTGTCATACCCATGTTGTTTCTCTTCAGATGTTTGTCGTGTACAATGAAAACTGTGTATATATAGAACCCAATCCGACCTTTGTTTTGATAGGAAAAGACCATGCTCCAAAACAGGTGCCAATCAGGTTCCAATCCGGTATATACAATGGTTCAGCTGACCACTCTCCTCAGGCTCATGCACTTTGGGCAACACGACCTCTTCGACATGTATCTCTCCTGGAAGCACTGAGACTGAGAAAAATGCTTTCTTTCGCGAACCTCACAGTCTTGATGAATTGAAGGAGTATGGAGTACCCGCGTCTTTCCATCATGAGCGGCTTCAAAAACCGCCAGCCTAGCAGGCCTAGCATGTGAGTTTACAGTTTGTACACTTTTCATCATAGAGGTTTTTGAAGTTGCTCGATTTCACAAAGAACAAGCTCAGAGTTTCAGTCAACACCTTGACCATCCATCAACCACACGCCGTACGAAGAAGTCCTTCATCTGATTGACTATCCATGAAGTCCAGCTCTCGAGCATGTGCCTGATGTGGCAGACTGGGCATGCAAGGCTGCCTGACCTCTAAATGTTTGTTGTGGCAGTGGCGGCAGTTGTGGAAAATGAATCTATTGGTGTATGTCACATAACCTCTTTCTCATCTCGCCACAAACCCGCTCCACCCCACCTCCACTCCACCTCCACGTCCTGCCCTCACTCACCCCAAATCACCAACCAAACCCGCTGCACGGGCGCCCGGACGTCCCGTCGGCGTCCGTTCTTCGCCATCAATTTGGCACAGATTCCCAGGAGCATCGCGCGGCGCGCCGCCTTCCATTCCAACCGCGCGCGCCGGACGGGGATGACGAACTCGCAACTCGCGGATGGGCGAGGGGATTTGGAAGCCTATTTTGGAGGAGTTGCTCCATGAGAGGTGTGGAAAAACTTCTCAGCTGCCTAGGCCGCGTATAAGTTCATGTACGTTCGGTACTGAGATGTTCTGAGATGATGACTTTGGGGTATTAAGACTCAAGAACGTGATTATGGTACCTGGTACAGGCTCCTTCTTGCTTCCGCTCCTCTTGGGGGTTTTAGCGGAAGCGGCAAATATTAAGAGCCTCCTGGTTGTAGAACTGTCTGTCTGGTATATTATTACTATAGGTTCTCTACTGGAAGCAAATAAATGGGATGCTACCAGCAACTTCCTTACAGTCTCCTGGCTGGACTACCCTACACCAGCTGTGGGTCTCCACTGTTCACACCCCGATTTTCGTGCCGGTTCGAAAGACTAGACCAACAATCCTGGTCATCGAATTGGTGGAAAGCGCAGTTTGGACATAGTCTCATAAACATGTTGTCTTGGAGTTGCTATCTGATTTCATACTTGTTTTATCTATAATTTAGCCTCTCTTCCCCATCAACCCCCTTCAAATTCGCGCATCGACGTGCCCGCCGCATCTTGGCCTGCTCTGCCGAGAGGCTCGAACGTCCTTTGAGGGAATCTGCCAAGCCGGCAAAGAAGACACCTCACTGGCACCGAAGGTGGCACCGAAGGCCAGCGTCCCACTACTGGAAGGCTTAGAAGGTGTTTCCCCTCCAAAAAAATGGCCAGCAAATAGGCATCGAAGCATGATAGGCATGGGATGGCATGGGTAAATCTCCAAAGCTTATGGATCGAGCCATTCATTAATGTTGCTCACGTTGTTTCTTTGACACGAGTGGCTCCTCGTGCCATCTTGCGAGAATCGAGCCGGCACTGCCTGCAAGTATCCAAGTTCGTGTGGGCCAAGCAGATGCTCGGATGGCCTCAGGTCGAAATGAAACGACCATGAAACGAAAGAAGTGGTCACAGAAAACGACCTCAAAATCTGCTCCCAAAAATCAAGTGCCATATCTTGTGGTCACCTGGCGAAGTTGTCCAAAACATGGGCTGAACTTCACCACTCGATCTGCAGCGTCCTTCACCCTCTGCAGTGGCACATCTTAGGCTTTGCACATCTTCCAGGTGTGAGATCATCGGATCCTACGGATGGCTCCGAGCTCGGACTGAAGGAAGGGGGAAAGGACCGATGCGTCTGGGCAGGGCACCGGAGACGTGCTGGAGGCACCGCACCACTTCCGCTGCGTTGGAAGGACACACGGGTTGGTAGGGGTATCCCCTCAGTTTCATCCACCAATACCACTACCCCCGGGTTTGGGGTGTCGAATTCTAGCTACAGAGTTAATAGGGGTGTCCATGAACCACCCCGAGCGCGCGGGTCCTGGTAGAACCAATCAGCAGAAACGCCAACGAACCGGGATGGGTGACCCCCATTGTGGGGACTCTCCGTGACAAGATCAGATCGACTTGAATCACGAGATGAGGGAATCACTTGCGCCGCATGCTTTTCGTAGTCACCAATTTATAGTTACCAACCCAGAATGAAGTTGGCCAACTCCTCCATATGTTGATAAATGTTGATAACTCCTCCATGCTGGCAGTGGGCACTTTTGGATACTTTTGGATGGCATGCACTCTGCCTCCAAGATCAAGTAAAACACATTCCAAACAAGAAAATGGAAGACCCACCCCATAGAATCCCGCCTACACAAACCCACAAGATCGCCGCCCTCTGAAGCTCGTAGAACGCTAACCCAAGCTACGACCACCGCCCCCCTGCACCGCACCGCCCGGCGGACGTCGTCTTCGAAAACGAATGGAAAAAGGAAAAACGTCATAGTCATGCATGGATGGTCTGGGAACCAAGGGAAATGGACGGACATGGTAGATGGCGTTGTTCCACTAAAGACATCATATGTCATACAGTACATGTTCATATCATGTCCCATGGACTCCAAAAATGGACCGGACAAACACTTCAACGGCTTGGTCCTGTGGCGCTGGAGTGCCAGTGAGCCGCTGATCTGCTTCCACCGCCTCAGTAGACCATTCTCCGCCCACCGACGAGAAGTCCGACGTAACTCATTGGGTCGTTATCCGATATATTACCTGGGGCCCAGTGGATGATGGTATAAGTTGCAGGCGGACAGTGGACAGTATTAGTGATGTGTTTGTTGACCGGCGGCTCTACAGGTTTACTGGGACAGACCCTGTGTAACCCTAGCCCTAGCCTTCAAAGAAGACCATTAAAACACAATACAGTAATTGTTTGGTAAAACAATGACTGTCCGTACATGATGGACCATACAGCGTGAAGTATAGAATTGAAGGGACATGAAGGGACTAGCTGAGCAGCTGGCAAGCTTCGCAGGAAGACATAAATTAGAGAGACCTCCCCCTGCAAGGAATATATAGACCAGTCTACTCATTGATTGGGTAATGGGTACTCAAATATATCCCCGGCAAATTCAAAAGGATCCCACATACTCTCTGAGATTTGGGTTAAAACTTAAAACCGATTTACTTTCGGGCGGATCTCGAATGGGTCTAATTCCTCACCTGTTCAAGTCGTGAACTCGCGGCAACATCGATGACGTGAGCTCCGATGAAAACGCCCTCAGGTCATTTCTGTTGATGGTCCTCTGGCGCTGCAGAGTGGGATTCAGGATTCTCGCCTGCGCTGGTAATATCTGATGAGTGCAAGTTCAGGTCCGCACATGGTTCCACAGCACGTGTAGATGCTCGTCCTTGCACGGGTTTTTCTCACTGACCATTCTCACTGGCTGAGCTCGTCAGTTTTGGGCCTTCCCAGCTGACAAAGACAGCCGCCAGGTCTGTCCTTGGTCAAGAACTTCAAGTCTGGCAGCAAGCTGAGCACTGCGGCCTTGCCGCGACGCGCGGCGATCAAAAACACGGAACGAAGCCATGGACAGATTGCAACAGAAGCAGACCCCAAAGAGGGAAACAAAGTGTTTCCTGAAATGATGAATCTGACTGTTTGTGGCTGTTTGCAGAGAACATATAACTATTAATTTGTGTTGTCCGTTCAATGTTTATAAGAACATATAATCCACTGAAGAAAAAATGCGTAAATCGATGTACCAGCCCCCAACATCCCAAAACTGTGTTCACTTCTAGAGATTCGTAGGACGATCAAATATATGTTGTTTCATGTTGTTTCCTTCTTTTTCCAGGTCTCGGTCCTGCGCACACGCATGCACTCGGTCCAGCATCTGAGGGTGCGTCTCGGTGTGTCTCATACACCGTCCGGTGAAGGTGTCGTTTCGGAGTTCTTGGTGCAAAGTCAGCCAAAACTGGCAAGACCTTCACTGAGGCGTCCAACTTGGACCTTCAGAAACCTTCACGCCATCGCCAGCACGGGCCATCGCCAGCAAGCGCACGCATCGGCCGGCCTGGCCTCTTGCTTGGGCAAGGCTGGAAGAGCTGCAGGGAGGTGAGTCTCCCGCACCATGAAGTGTGGCGAACCCACCTGCAGCCGAAAGGCCTGGCTGCAGCTGAAGCGGATCGTCGCGGGCCGCGCACAATCACGCGAACATGGGCGCCAAGTTGGAAGTGCAGGTGGGAGCCCCGAAAATGAACCGAGCTGAAACGTCTACCCAAAACAATGCCAAGGGCGGGGTTCCGCACCCGAGTTTGAGGGGTGGGTTTCGTGATACTCATATACTCACGGACCTCAGGAGGAGGCATTTATGATCCCATCAAAGCTATCACTTGGTTTTCATGAGTCGCCCATGGGTCGCCCTGATCATCATGACATGAACGAGTCATTCTCAACACCAAGCGAGCAACGATCCAGCGAGCTTTGAGATCCCGCGTCCGTCTCGAAGTGTTTTTTTTTTAACTTTGTCGCTCACGTTGGACCTTTAACTCAAGCGACTCAAGGTGCTCAAGCACCTTAATCATCACCACTGATTGACTTGTCATCACTGAACCCCTTCTGAACATGGATCTTGGGCGCGATCGGACCAGATGGCGCCTTCTTGGGATCGGGACATGCCACTCTGCAGCCCAAGTGATCTTCCCACCTGAGCAGATGGGTGATCTTGTGAGACCGGGCTGGTGTCGACCCATCCCAGGTGTTTTTAGCTCCCAATTGGCCAATTGGGAGGCCTGAATGGTTCGGAAAAGAGACCCAAATCCATTGGGCCAGGCGGGTCTCCCTCAAACATATCGTGTATACACCCATGGTGTTTTGCACTGCCACTGCTATAGCCACTTGAGGCCTTTAGTGGCCGTTGGCCCTAAACCTACTGTGTGATTACAAATGCTACGCGCAGAGGGAACTATGGTATGTTCATGTATTTGTCAATCTTTTCCTTCCACTCATCACCCTTTCCGCTGGGGCCTTGGGCCCAAAAGCAAAAAAAGGCTACGCAGGTTAAGCACCCTGGAACCTTGTCCAAGTTCGACATCCCAACATATGGAACTCCTGGTTCTTCATGGTACTTCATGCTACCGCGTTTGCACCTATGTAGTTATGTAATAGCTCCTCCATCCTGAAACAAGAGCTTATAAGCCCTCCTACCCAATAGCCTCGAGCTAAAAGAAAGGAATCCTTCAGAGTGAGTCCACAAAAGATGCTATAGCTCTCTTTCCAGAAATCAATCGAATATGGGTCCGTATGCTCCGTGTTCACTCCGTCCCCCTTTTGTTCACTTACAAAACAAAGGGAACAGAGTAAGCTTCGAGACGTGACCTGGTGTCCAGCTATAGTTTGCATCATATAGTTCAAGCCAGCCAGTTTCTCGATCCACAGGCCTGCACGGCGAGTGTCAGGCTGTCCCGCAGTATTTCGACAGCAAAGTCCTCTGAGGAACCCCGACCACTCCAAGCTCTTGGGGCCACCCTCAGAATGGCGAGATCGCCCATGGATGAATCTGCTTTGGCAGATTTGATCCGTCCGGAGATGGAAACCAAACAAACTCATGAATGCGAGGTACCATGGAGATTACGGACTATAATTAACACGAATAATCATAGCATCATATCATGATCGCGTCTGATTGGGGTTGTACAAGTACCGAAGATATCACCTCCTCTACTGCATTAATGACGTAAGATTGAGATCCTTCAACGGCATTCGGTGGTGACTAGTGACTCCAGTGACTCTGACTCCTCCACCTACACCATGGGAATAACTATCGAACCATTCAGAGTAAATCTGTGAATGTTGTGTGAGGATGGACTGCATTAGATAAGTTCCCGCAAGATGATCCAAGATGGAAATCGTTTCTTTGAATGCAAAGGAAGTCTGTGCAAACATCGTAGACTTCTTGATCTTGGAAAAACAACACCTCCTCTCCACCGTCATCGCACCGCTTTCTCGCCGCTCCGCCTGAGGCGCCACAGGGTCCGGCGGTGTGCCCTCGAGGCTGGGCAGCGACATGAAGGCCTCGCCCTCGCCTGGGCAGACCGCTCGACCGCTCGGCGCGGGGTGCGTGGCCTGGTGCCGACGATCCGGGAGCGCCGAACGACAGGGCTCTGAGGGTGCTCCGGTGTGTTTTTGTTCGTTCTTTTTCTCCGTTATGGGTGCGGCCGCGGGGGAAAAGATCGGTCGCTGGCCGGTGATGAAGGAGAACATCATCACCGTTTTCCGTTGAAGAACTGATGTGACTGACTGGGGGCACATTTGGTTTGTCACACTTGGTGTGTATGATTTGGGGGTCACCAATGAAAGAAGCGAGATCGCAGGAATCAAGACGAACTGAGTTGATGCTTTAGGCCGTGAATCGACACAAGAGGTCCGAACCAGGCCAGACCCTGCACATAGATTGGAAATTCTTGGAAGTCTTAGATGTTGCACCTGGAAGTTCATGGAAGTTCGGAGGTCTTAATGTTGTCTTGCTATCGACCGAGCATTCTCACAATCTCATCTTCATCTTCGGCCTTATCTCACGATATCCTGTGCTCATCTCTCCGGAGCGCACCTGATTCCGGACGCTCCACCGTCATGTCCAGATGGGTGACCTGTTGTGGATCGGAAGGCTCCCATCGGAGCGGTGGGATCCGTGAGAAAGGTGTGATGTCGATTGGATCGCTTCGCTCCACAAAACGGCCAGCTAGTCACCTAGTCAGCTACCCTGGACAGATCTGGGTGTCCTGGCTGGACTTGCGACATACCCACTATTTTTTAGGGATCTCCAGATATCTCCAGACAGGACACCCAGACAGGATGCTCCTGGTATATAGACCTATATGTTGTTTGATTTGCAAGAAGAGTCGTGTATGCGCAACATCAAACCTGTCCAATAGTTCGAAGCAGAAGGACGGGGCCCCTGCTGAACATCTCCGAGAGAATCCCTAAAGAACTTCAGTTGTGGTGGATGAGTTCAATTAAGACCATATGGTCTGAAAAGAACCATTTCGAAGGTTTTCGCCTGATGTTGGTTTTGAATTGGCCCCAAGGTCAGGAACAGCGAAGTCCTGCGCTCTCTGCGCTCTTTTCCCCGCACATCCGGTGCCACCAGATTCCTCTTCTTTCGCTCACTTGCGGCCTGATGCGAATGATGCGAAGATGGATCGTACCACTCCGTTCAACATGACTCCGTTCAGCACATATGTTAAGGTAAATACATGACTCACGATGAGCCTATCCATGGAGTACATCCAGCATCACCCGAGTCAGCTGATACACCATCTTCATCTATGAATCCTTTTGGGAAACGATCACCGGATGCTTGGTGACCTGAGACCTGAGACCGCGTGGTGGGCAAACCGGTCTTCAATTTCTCATAGACTCAGTGCACGGAAATTGTCATGAAGATGTTGAAAATGGACAACCATGACTAACCATGGGTTTATAGATGTTTATAGTGTATAATTGGTGCACTCGACCAAACATGAACGCCCCTCTTGGAGGATCTAAGGACCACGGATGTTAAAACCAGGTGTCATCGGAAACTCTGGGGTATTGGCTGCGGGTCGTCACGTGTTCTTTTTTGCTTTATATAATTTCAGCGAAGCTATTTCAGTGCCTATCCCTTCGGGAAGCCATGCTTTTGCAATTTTAAGAGTCCGAAAGAACGTGTTTTTTAAACAGAACAGGAAAACAGGCGATGGCTTGGGTGGCGCTAGGGCCCAGACCCATGCTCATGCCCGTCAGAGTAGTGTTGGAGGTCGAGATGTTGGGCAAACGATCCATATCCAGCTCCTGCCCCGCCCAGTGGTGTTCGCATGCGAAGCGAGTCATGCAAATGCTATAAGTAATACCCAGATTCACCAAGCGCACTGGTTCGCAAGTATACTGAAGTAGTATACTGATTCACATGACTTCCTGCGAGTCGACCATTGCATTCGCCTCTTAGTCGACTGCTTGAGCTCCACTGCGAACCACTTCTCAGGTCGATCGGCAGGTCCAACTTCCAACAAGGCCATCATGCAGGCACTTCGGTCGGTCAGCGGACCCATTTCACACAGTAAGCCTTCCTTCTTTAAGGCCCAAACATGTGGGACTGGCTTCACCTTCCACCTCTTACCCTTTCTAAACCCAGCACCAACCGCCAACGCCACGCCCTTCCGCACCACCACTTTCTTCTCCCCTCCTACGTCTTGGGCACACCACCCTCCAGAAATTCGTGCTCGTCGCACGCATGCATACGCATGCCCGCGGGTGAGTCGCACACCGGTCCTTGAGCATCTCGCGGGTGTCGGGATCGACCTGGATGAAGTCGGTGTTCACCTCCGCGGCGCCACGCGGCTGCGCGAAAAGCGCCCGCCGTGGACCGACGTTCGTCGACGGTTGGAGGGAAAAGGAGACGAGCATGGAGGAGGAGACGAGCATGGACTGAGGGGACCGGTTTCGGCTTTTGGTGGGTGCAGAGTTAGGAGATGTTAGGAGAGTGGCAAAAGAAAAGAGAAGAAAGAGATGCTATTGAGCCAAGGATGGGAAAGGAATCGGCAATTGTGAGCTCATGTGCACTCCAACTGCATCTCAAAGGCTGAGCAATAGAATCTCGAGGAGCTTGAACACAAACAAACCATTGGATCTCCGCCACTCCGGCCCCACAAGTTAAGTTATGATTTCAATTTCGCCTGCTTCAGTCCTTCGGCATGGTCCCAAAACATCTCCCTCTTTCCGGCCTTCTCTCCCCCCCATCTGTCCCCTCCGGTCCCATCCTCGCACCGCTCCGCGCGGTGCTCTCTCCCTGTTCCGCGCTCGGCGGACTCCGAGCCTCGGAGCGGTCCGGCACGAACTCCATGCGCCGCTCGCGCTCCTCGCCGCGGCCGGAGGAGGTTCCACGCCGGTGCCATCGGTGGAGGTCGACGGTGACCCAGTGGTGGAATCACGGTGGAATCATGGGAAATAAGGTGAAAGGTGAGAGGGGAGAAAATGTATATTCGTATATGATATGTATACTGTATATACTGTATACTTTATATAGTTGACTTCGCCACCAAAGGATACCAGGCGAGTCAACTAGTAACTAGTTGAATGGACCAACAACCAATGATTCGAGGGTTAGCCTGGGCCAGCCTGATCCAGCCTGGGCGCTCAAAAGCATCACTTAGTCACTAATCAACAAAAAAGAAGCAGCTGTCCTCCAGAATCAGGCTACCGTATCCAGGTTCTTAGGAATCAAAATATCATCCACCCCACCCCCCAGAAATGGCTCCACCGATCTGGAACGTCCTCCTCTTGGAGCTTCAAGGAGATTCCGCGCACGGGACCCTTCTGAATACCTTGGCGCGTTTCTTGGCCAGGTGAGGCTCGGGTTTTCGAAATCAATGAGCTAAACGGTTCTTGCAGATCTCCAGCAGTAAAGCTGCAGATTTGAAACTTCCAGGAAATCTGAAGCCTTTAAATCTAAACGTTATATCTGTTCAGGGTATTTTTTTCTTGTCCTTAAACCAGCTAGCTGCCTTTGCCCAACCTGTCTATCATGATCCCAAATGCGTGCGAACCAAAAACAACTCCATATGCTCCATCAACGAAAAACACGACCGACAAAAAAAAACATCAAAAACAACTGTGGATATCTTTTCTGCATAGATGCTTTTGCCAACGCTCTCCTCCACACACCCATGTGAGCTCCCCTTTTGGCCCACCAATGCTGCCATCCTCCACGCCGAGGAGCGCTTCATGAGATGCGTGGTGAAGCCGGCGATCTTGTTCCGCAGGCGCTTCGAGGGGATCGTGGCCACCTCCTGCAGCGCAGCGGATCGCGGCGCGGATCGGTGTCGCCACGGCGCAGCGGATGGGTTTCGCTTGGGGAACTTCGGCCGGAGCTTTCAGTTGGCTTCTCTGAGGCCGCAGAGGAGTAGGACGGGGTACCTTTTATCAGTCAGTGACGGTCCGTGGGATTCCCGTGCGGAGTTGCCACAGCACAATCACAGCACCGTGCTGTGGACGCGACGACTCCAACCGCGGCATCGACTCCTCGGTGATCTTCTTGTTAATCTGAAAATCAAGGGTGAGCTTGCCGTAGTATTTCTCGACAATGACTCGCGCAGCCTACATGTGTGGCAGGCACAACAGTGTGTGTGTGTGCCTGATTTGGATGACTCTAGATCTGATTATGTGCTTTGAGATGTTTTGAGTAATATCAGTCTTGTGGTTGCACCCGTATGTCCTTGCAACCGCGATGGATTTGCAGGCAACGACTTGAACAATGTGCAGGCAGTGCCATGCAGCATTGCATGCTTACCCGGGCCTTCTTCACAGTCTTGGTCCTAACACGTCCCATGGCTCTTCGTGCTATCTGGCGGCCCTTCTCACGGTGGATTTACCTTTGTTTTCGAGCCAAAGAAACGAGACGAAGAACCTAGTGCTGGCCCTGCTGGCCCTGTCCACCTGTTCCTTCGGTTTCTGGACATGTGAAGACGATGGGCTTTCATTGGAACAATTTGAAGGTCTACAGAACTGCACCTCCATAATAAGAATCACGCAAATGGAGAGAAGATGCTAGCCAGGCTAGCCATTAAAACGATAGTCTATCGTATATGTAATTATATAGTACAGTTATGTACAATTGGTGTGTGTGTGTGGCCAAAACTAGGGCATTCATCTGAAAGTCGACCTCGGACCTCAGCACATCGTCTCCTCTTTGAAGACCTCGTCTCTGAGGTCTCTACCAGGGCATCGTGCGGAGAGAAGATGTCCTCCTTCGAATGCGGACGAACATCCTGAGTCTTCACCCTCCAAGATAGCGAAAATGGAGCCAGGCTCAAACAATCACAGCTTGGCACCAAACAAATCCAAGCAAAAACACGCATTTGTCAGAATTCTGAAATTTTTCGTCACAGTTGGGCAACCATGGTTAGGTTGTGACTCCAAAGAACAAATGCTCTAGATCTTCAGGGCGGCAGCTACATTGCCCCTGTGGAAAAAAGGGAACACAACGCGGCAGCTCGACATTGACTCTTCTGCTGCTGGTTGGAGACTGTTAGAACAAATATGACAAAACCAAACAAAGAAACATATCAAAGAACAACATCAACTTAGGACAATGTCATACAATGTCTGTTCCAATTGTATATACGTTATCATGGCTCCTTCCAAATTTCCAAAAATAGTTTTACAGGTTGGGATTTGGAGGAGGCTTTGGTGACCGCCAACGCCAAAAAAATAAACACCAAATCTCATGGCGACTCATGGCCGCCACCCTCAGTTTTGCTGCAACATCAAGGTCTTATATGGTCTTTTTAAATAGACATTTTTTCCACCTTCTGGATTTTTTCATGACCCAAAATCAATTAATAGGTCTTTTCCTTCATCAAGGTCTTGGATTCTTTCATGATCTTAATTACAGTAGTGTGGAAAACCAATCCCCAAAACAAGTTTCATACATGATCCACTCTTCCCGGGAACTGCGGTCCTGAAACTGGTTCCAAGAGAAAACGGCACTGTGGATGAGAAAACGGAGTTGTGTGTTCCATGTATTGTGTTGGAAAACCAGGTGTTGAAGTTGAACACTGATTGGTTGTCCTTACATGTTGGAGTGTTGGTAGAAAATGGAGATCCGGGGTTTGGGACGGCTGAAGTACTTCCCTGGGCTCACAAGCACATTGGAAGGGTGAGCATCTGCACCCCCAGTGCCTGAACCACTGGTTTGGCTCACAAGCACATGAGACCTCAAAGAACTCAGCATTTGCCTCGGCAAGGTCTGTCCTTGTCTGTTGGCCATTCCAGGTGCACGTAGCCCCAAACGGAGATCCCATAGCTGGCTTCCTGCGGTCCAACTCACAGGATCACATGCCGTGGGCCGCTGTGGGGAGGCACGGTGGCCATCTCGCCCAGCCTTCCAAGACGGACCACTCAAAACGACGGTTGTTTGGAACTGAAACCACGGTTGTTTGGAATTGATGGAATTGCTTTTTTGAGGGAGCGAGCGCCCCTATGGCGAGGTGGAAGGGAATGCAAGGTACAGGACATGTTGAGCTGATCGTCTCAAACCCAGTCAAACTATAGGGTGATGGTGATGTTGTATAAGCATGTTTTTTTTGCGAAAAAACAATTAATCCGATCAAAGTGCGAGACTTGTCCTCTCAACCATCGACCAATCTAGGATTGGTTCTCCGCCGTTCTCTTTCGCTTCCATGAGCCCAGGATTGGACTCCACATATGGAAAGCTTGAATTCTTGGACATCTCCCAGCAAAGCCTCGGGTTTCTTCGGCGTGACCTCTTTCCGTTCGAATCCCAAACGAAATGCAGCTGCATCTGTATCAATCTAGACCAAGCCAGTTGCCATCCATGCTGATGTGGAATGAGGCTAACAGTGCAGGGTGGCTCTCCATTCAACATGTCGGTCGGTTGAGAATCCTCACTTGATCTTGTTTCACAAATGCAGAAACTCCGTGATTCGGCAGTGAAAACCCAATCCGAAAACTGGATCAAAGCCCATTCCATTGAGGTTTATGTCATGAAACGGATGAAGCTACTGATACTACCGGTGGGCCCAATTTCCCTTTGTGTGGTCAAGACCCTGGCTCCAATACGGGCCGCAACCCACCAACGACCGTTTTCTATCGACCTCGGTACGGTGCATGGCGGGTCAAAACACGGGATGAGCCCGTTTCAGCCCGAGGTAGGTTGACCTGGGTAGGTTTTTCCAGGTGGTTTCAGAACAAGCCCGGGTGCCAGGACAGAGTCTGAAGCGAGACCCAAGACCGGACTCGGTGTGGGTCTGTCTGAAGCGAACACCCAAAGACATCAGGTAGACGGTTGATGATATGTCACCCCCCCCCCCAATCCCCCCAAATTTGAAGAGGCTTTACAATCTAAATGGGGTGGTGTTTTCATTATATATTATGAGTCTAATAAATACATGACCCCAAACATACATAAAACATACATACCCAATTAAAAATTAAATAAGAGTCTACATGACCCATAAACAACCCATTGGCCCATACCGGACTCCACTCCCCACCGGGACGATCTTCGCATCTCCTGCGGCTGCAGCATGCGCCGCCGGAAGACGCACGGCAAGGCCGAGACCTTCGCCTCCGTCGTGCAGCAGAAGCCTCCGGCAGACCCGTCAGAACGTGGCGTCCCGTCCGTCAGGTGGGCGGAAGGATGGCGGGAAAGGAGGGGAAAGCCAAGTGGTGAAGAAGTAGGGAAAGAGCACCAGGCCTGGGGTCTGGTGTTGAGAGTCCTGTCTTTTCGGGTACTAGCTGGATGACTTGAACACACTGGAAGTGAAAGGATGGCCGTCCCAAAACAAACATCAGAGATCGTCAGAGGCTGGGTCACACAAGAATACCAGGCATCACCAGAGCAGTATGTAAATAAAGCTTTTAAACTGTGTAACTATACCCACCAAGTTGCGTGGGACCATCCAACAAGCGCTGGGAAACTTGTCATGGTCTTGAAACACATCCGTTCTATCCACTCCAGAGTGACTCTTGTTCATAGGAACCTGGTGGAAAAAAGGGCGGAACATCAGCCCCCCGAACACGTCCGATTTGGCTGAGCTCGGGGCTGAAGCGCATCCACAGAGGCCCCGAGGGCTGCTTGGCCTCCGTGCTCGGGCGAAGCAACCACCGGTGAAGCGGCAGGTGAAGCGGCTCCGGCGAACGAAATGGGAGTGGATCCCTTTGAGATCCCCCTTGGTACCGACAGCTAAGGTAGATCCTCAGGATTCTATGCATTAAAATCCTACCGAACCAAGGTGACTTTCTAGTTGTTCAATGGTGCCCAACGGGGTTCTTTAAGGCAACATGGCTGGCACCAAACCCACCCACGACCGGAACCCGACCGGAACGTGTCGGTCGGTGAAGCGGATCGGGTGGGGCTCCAGGTTGATGGACCCATCACATCACCATGTTCTGGCTGATGTTCGAGAAAAAAACACAAAAGTCCATAAAACCATCGCCTTATTCCAGGGTCCCCGAAACTTGGGTTTTGATGCTGGGGCCTTTTCCAGTAGGGAACCTCATAGGCCACGAACTCCCGTGCACGGCGAGCTTGTCGTCGCCCAGCGAGCGAATTCACTTGTCCTTGTCCTTGCCTCCTGCAGGTCACGCGATTGATAAGCCTCGGGGGTCGACTTGACCCATGCAACATCATACGACGGAGACATTTTCGCACAGCGTGACGAATGGGTTGACTAGTCGGATTTTTGGTCGACCACTGAGAATATCCTGAAATGCTGGTGGCTGTTTTCATTACACTCAGAAAAACATGGTCGATGAGTTGAGACGAGTCGACTCGTCTTGTCGACAGACGTGGGTCCCCATGTGCCAAGAGCAAAAGCCCAAACGATCGTTGTGGGCACATGCATATATGGAACGAGCGTGTCACATCATTCTCACTCGATGCAGCGACATGTTTCCAAGTTTTAAACTCTCCTCACTCTAGTCTTTCTGCATGTTCTGCACGACGTGTTAACCATGTGGACGGACGAGAAAAAAAATACAGTACCTCATTTTTACATGGTGTTGATCCATCGACATGGGTCGCTGTGTCTTCACACCTGGACCTCACCCGACCAAGCCGAGGCGCCATGAGCAAGGCATTGGCTGCGGCGGCTGCCTCAGCCGGGCTCACCGGATCTCCGATCGAAACGAGCCACCGGATGGGCGGGTGAATGACGGGCAGCAGATCGAATGGAACGAAACTGGCAGATTTGGGTAGCAAACGTGTCAGCTTTGCTGGAGAAACTGGCATGGGAGGCGGATGGGGATGAACACATGGGCCTACAGGGATGATGTTTCTTCTGTACTTCCGCTACGATGGACGAACTCGATCCTCAAAGCTCTTGCAGCTCTCGAGCTCGGCTTTGTCAAACATCTGAAAGTACAAACCCCCCGTGGCGGGGCCGCTCCACATCGGATGAAAACACCGCTCGACGTCGGAAGAAGTTGAGGTCGCAATGTCAGTCAGCACCGGTCCGTGAGGGGTCGCTCAAAAGGACACAGAGGTGATTCACCGAACACTGTTCTTAACCCTGCTTCTTAAGGGTTTGACTTCTTGATCGTTCTGGTCCATCTACTGCTGCTCAACTTACAACATGTTCATAGACCAAAAGCACCCAATAAAAACCCGAGCTAACTATCAAAGTTTGGCCTTTTGCAAGCCATGCTTCGATGCAATAACCTTCCCTTCCGTTTCGGACTTCTGACAAGAAACGTCCAACAAAGAGGGTGCAGACAGAACACCCGATTCCAGAGAGTTCTCTGGTTGAAGAAGCTTGAAACCTGGCTACAAAACATTTCATCACCTTCGCCCTCTTTCAGCTTGCT